TCTCACCCCCCTCCTTAGATCATGACTGCAAGAGTGACTCAGGGTTTTCCAAGAATAGGATTCCCTTTGACAAACAGCAGGCGCCCCGACTCCCTGCATCTGGCCTTGGGCAGTGAGAAAGAGAGACAGGGGACAGGACAGATTTCAGATCGTATGGTTTTACATGACAAGACACTAACGGGACACTGTACAATAGCAGAGGCAGCTGCAGGTTAGGCCTCAGGCTGGTTAAGGGGAAACGGGTCCAATGTACATCCAGTCACCACTCTACCCTCTTACATAATGTCTCAGGTTCAATATAGCCCTTGTTGGCTATTTAAAGCAAGCCCGTCTGGGCCGCACCGACAAAAGCCACAGCGTAGCATGAAAGGCTCTGCTCGGGCTATATTTGTCACAGACAAGCCCTGGGGTGTGGATTTTGGTAATGCTGCAGATATTTTTAGGCCAGCTGATGATTCTAGATACTTACCGAGGTGCAAAGCCTGCACACCCAGCCATCACTGAATATTTCAGCTCTCTGTAGCACCAGGTGGTCAGATTAGAACAATTAGCTAAATAACTTAGTCAATCACCGCGCATGTGCAAGCCTTTTTTTTTTTTTTTTTTTTAAAAACACTTGCACATATAGTATGTAACCAACCAGAGACTGATTAACAAAAATGCTATTGGTGACATGACAAATGGTCAAAAGCTTTCAGGGAAGTTAAACAATTGTTTGAACATGTAAAAACAACTTGTAGTACAGGATATCCATAGTTTGTGACTTTTTGTAGGGAGTAAACAGGACTCGTCAAACACGGTAAAAGTGGCTCAGTTAATAAATAACTGCTGTGTTTATTTCACAGACATCTAACTTTTTCTCAACAGACAAACTGGAAACCACACTTTGTTTCCAAATCTGTGTTTGCCAATTCAGGCAAGAAGCCCAGTATGCTTTTGCTAGTTTCGTGATTGAAATCTTCATCATTTTGATCCTCTACATACAGCTTCTGTTGTACAATAAACCAACTTTTGAAAGTGCAGTTCTCTGTAATCTTGCCCCAACACATTTCTTATGAACAAGGTCAAACTGTTTTGATGCCCCCTTTTTTTTTTTTTTTTAAGTGGAGAATCACAAAATTGCCTTCAACGAGTGGGATTTCACAGTTTAGAAAACAGGAACAGCATATTATAGATGTGGTCCAGTTGGTCCATAGGAACATGTTACTGATCATATATTGAAAGCGAATATATGGTGATTGTTGACTAAGATTTTCCACATCTCATTTATTGTGCAAAGGACAAACTAGCTTGAATGTTTAAGACAGCACGTAGCATCTTGCATGCACCTGAAGTGAGGCTGTCCTGTTTCTGGTACCTGTTGCACCTGTTGATAAATGGAGAAGTACAAATACTGCAATATTTTAGTTTAGAGGTTTGTTCAAAAAAAGGTGAAGGAGTAAAGTTTTTATACAATATATTACAAATTTAAATTTTCATTAGTTCTTGGAAAGAAAATCAGAATCGACATGTCAGAAAATGAAGTCACAATTGCGTCTCTAATTTAAACCACTGAAAGTGATGCTCACCTGCAGTAAAGAGAAACCCCATGTAGCAAACACAGTGTTAAGCAAATTGCTTTTGTGACAAACTTGCCAGTTTACCCAAGCATTGATCCGCTGTCAAAAAGAAGTTATTTTAAAGTGGTAAATCATAATAGAGGCCTTCACTTTGTTCCACTTTACCATCCTACCCATTTCACTGGTTGAATACAGTGAGAGGACAGCACTTCTCAGTGAGTTACATTCAACTGAGCATGACTTAAAGTCATTTATCCAAGGAAAAGACTCCAAAACAACAGCAGGTGAGGCAGTAAAAGCCGGATCAAATCTGAGCTTGGATTTAAATGGCTCAGTCTGGGAGGAATGCAGCTCTGATAGTTTACTGGTATTTTACATAAACCTGCAAAAGCAGGCCCAATTTCCTTAAATGTTTAAGCACACCACGATCATGAGCAGGTAGGGCTGACAACTTTAATGTTCTGACAACTTTAATGGTTGGTTTGGAGCACTCCTGGAAACGTTGGCAGCTTTATCTTATTCCTCCACATGGGCTGTTGTTTTCCTGTGGGCTTATCGAGCAAACTGACTCACTGTTCTCAGCTGGTCAAATGAGCTTCAGTGACAGACGAGGTCTGTTCCATAAACAAAGGGGCAGCAGAGGTGGTTTCCAATAGTGGAAAGTTTGTAATACTACACGGAATCAACCAGCAAAAATAAAAATGGGACACCAGTGTAAAATAAGCCTGCATCATTAGCCTATTACTCTCTCTGGGCCCGAACTCACTTGAATGCTCAATTATGTTGATAGTGCAATTACACAGAATTCTTAACCTTTCATAAATCTTTAAAACAACAAGGAGAAAGTACACAGAACCCTCCGGCCTTCTTGAAGTGGGGAGTCTAAGTGATATCATCATCAAAAGGAGAGCAGGTCGGTCACAGCAGCACGGCAGCACGCATATTGTTCCCCTGTGGTATGTCAGCTCAGGAAGCACAGACTGAGCCACAGAGCAACAGTCGTATGTGTGTCAGCCAGCGACAAGCTATGGAAACTAACAGAGAAGAAAACAGTTTTGGAACTTTGTTTCAGTGTTTTCCTCCTCTGTTCTTACTGTAGCCTGCTGGTGGCTTTGGCCCTGTGGCAACTCTAGTGATAAAGTGGGAAATTACTGCACCAGTAGCCATTTTGTTCCACTATTCCCACCGGTTGCAACATATCTTACCCACCAGAATTATAATTTTGGACAAGAGGGCACCACTAGAGAAGCTTTTACAATGGTGTCTAATGATGACAACTTTTACACAGTGAGTGAAAAGTGAAATGAAATTTTAAAGGTAATAACCCAAACCTTCTATTGTATTAGTCAAATGACTGTTGGTTCTTTGTACAAAAATAATCCTCTTACTTTATAAGAAGGACACGCACAATTTGTTGAAGCGCTTCATCTGTGTATTCAGGTGCAGCATGAAGTAAATACAGGGGATAATCAAGTCAGGAAGACCTGCCAACATCCTTGATGAATAATTAGTTGCTGCAGCAAGTTTACAATGAACCTGATAGTTTATGCAAAGCTGAGTCATACACACAGTATCACTCTAAACAAAACTGTACATATTTTCCTGTAAGCAGCTACATGAACTAATGCCATGGACCAGGATTACGGAAATTCTGTGTTGTAATAGTGGAACTTTCCTTTAATGCCCCAGCCGGCCCGACGGTTGGGGCATTGAGTGAAATGCTTCCAAACTCACTTTGATGTATTGGAGGTTTAAGCCAGCTAGATTCTATTGTGGGGAAAAAAAAAAAAAATCCTATTTTTCCAAATAACATGGCCAGGATTCAACAGCCTTTGTTCTGTCAGAGAGAAGTCAATGGCTTTGTGTATTGTAAAGCTGGACTAATCAGCTGGCCTTTGAACCTCAACATCACTATTTCACCATCGCAACTTTACCTCCCATAGGCATACGGGGCACAACAGTCACATGTCAAAAATTATGATACAAAGCGTAAGCTAGCGGTAGACTAGTTGTATCAACTCTAAATTCTGACTGCCAACACTGCATTTTATTAAATCTCCAACAGCCATAATGGTCAAGAGATGACAGAGTGCTGAAATCAACATTTCAGAGGTCACCTTGCATAAAAATCTTGATCGGGAAGAACAGCTGTTACACTTGAAAGGACTACTAGTTAGGATGTGGACTAGAAACACGTGTCAGAATTTAAATAGCTGCATTTTACTGCATCAGTTCACATTCCACACCAAATGACCAATAACAAAAACATTTCAATTCATCATTAGGTTACTTTCAATTACACGGCAAGTAACATTAGCTTACTGTTTACAAACAAGTACCTCAAAAGGCCTAGCTAGGAGAACAAAAATCAGTCTTTATATGAACCAAAAAGTCAAATTCCAAATTATCACTGCATATTTGTTTCTATTGAGGTTTACGGTGTCCAGCACAGCTTCCCGTAGCTCTTAATTCCTCACAGCTAAGATAGTCAATGCTTCAGTGAGCTCCACAGATCATTACCACAGGTGGTTAATAATATATAAGAGAACAGAGTTATTGTTGGGAGGCAGAATACACACACACACACACACATTTACTGACTAACAACACTTAGCAAAGCTGTCAGCTTAAACAGACTATTAGTTTCTAATGTTTTGGACTTGTTGCTTTTAAGCTCCATTTGATAATAACATGCACTTGAATTATTGCTAAACAATACATTAATGGAGACCTAAAACTTTAGGTTTATCTGGTGTTTCACTACAGTACCCTTTAAAAGTTTGCTATGGACTGAACTAAAATGCTTTCTGTGCAGATCCACAGGAAGCTTTAAACCAGTTTACTGCACTGTGCAGAAAGAGACAAAGACAGGGCAGAGAGGAGAAACACACAGCAACACACTATAACAGTGTAAAGCCTAAAATAAAAACTTGCTCTATGTATGGAAGAGGGCATGAGTAATGTTCATATTAAATGTAAGCTCTGACTTAGCTGCAGCTCAGAAATAAACCCAAAACACGTGCACAAAAAAACTCAAGTGAATGCAAACCAGGTAAACAAAGCTAACTGATGCTTAACTTTACTTCAATTCCGGTTAATTCAATTAATTAACGTTAATTCAATTCCACTGCAGCAGGTAGCTATATTAAAGAAAACTCCGGGGTTCAACCAAAGCTTTTGGTCACCACTAGTCCTACCGCTATTCTAAGCAAAACCTGTTGATATACCTCCATGCTAATTCATAATTAATATGAGAAACACACAGTGAAGTATCCTCTGGTGAAATTTGGGATCTGTGCTATGGAAAAGGTTGAGGCGCCCCTGCTTTCTGCCTTACTTCAGTCTCACCCGCACAATCTCTGAGCGCTTGTACAGTGTAAAAAAGCCGGTAAATAATAAAATGGGATTAATGACAGTTTGAAAACACAAACCCGACTTTACCTGCGAGATGTCATAGCAGTTTCTGTAAGCTGTCAGCTGTCCTTAAACGTTCCCTTCGTGTCTCAGTTGAGTCGCTGACAACAGTGTGAAATCTGTTGAATCTGCTTGTGGAGCCATACATAACTGAAGACACGGCTTCCGGTTGTCCCTTTCAAAACAAAGGCCTCATTTCAAGGCTAATTTAACGAGAAATCCGTAGCAGGTGAATTTAATTACCACCTTTATAAAACAGCCCTCCTTATATTATGTTTGAATGTTGTTTATTACCATATTTATTTTTTGCTATAACTTTCCCACCTATGCACAGCAATATTTATGCTTAATATTTTTTTTTCAACATTTATTTCTAGTCATAAAACGAAATGGGCCATACGTAATAATTTATGTGGCATAAAGAAATGTCTCGGATTACAAATTTTGGCTTGTACTTGTACTTTTTTCTAAACTAACAAATTCGTAGTATTTTCAAATAGTATATCTTGTTGTTGTAGCCAGTCACATCTAAATATTTGGGTCAGTTTACTTATTATATGCAAACGTGTAATTTACAAGATTTCTTGTTCGGGTAGTGTAAACTAAAGGCTTGTTCTCAGTATTAATTAATTTATTTTTGTCCATCAATTTATGAACCAAACAGTAATGAACACTGTTTTGCTATTGTAAAGATCTGCTGTTGTCTTGTGAGGAATAAAGCTGGTCTACACCTTCTCTCTTGTTATAGATGGGGCAACCTCCCAGCTCTGGAGGATGGTGGAGGTGGTGGGGGAGAGGCATAAGAGAGGCAGAGTGACACTGACATCACCACCTTGTGGTTATCAGTGTGGGTTAATCTACTGGGGGATGGATGGATGTGCTTATGCAGTTGTCTGTGAGCCCACGGGCTTCACATCTATGGATTTACTTCTTCACTGTTTGGCCCAGTTGCAGCCTACAGACAAACACTGAGATGATAGAGTGGGAATTTCTCCTCTCTGTGGAATTTCTGTTGTCAAAGTGCCAGATGCAATGTACTTCAGGCAGGATAGATAGGAACTGAACATTGGGTTTGCTGTTTGGGTCTGGTGAGCAGTTCAAATGATTCTGTCACACAGTGGGGGGGCATTACTGTCTGATCAATATGGAGGTGAAATTGATGAAGAGGGTGAGAAATAGCTTAATGCTGGAATAACACTGAATGCACATTTCATGTTTAATGCTAAATGTGATTGATACAAGACTGAGGGACTAAAAAACAAAGTCATTACCATTTGTTAGGCAGGTGAAATGCCCTTTGTATATTAGGTGTTGGTTTAAAGGATAATGGGAAATGAGTTTTTGTGCCTAAGGCAAATATTCTGGGAGATAATTGGGGGAAACACTTTGGCTTCTGCATGCACTAAAAGGTCAGGCAAGCTGTGTTTAATGTATTTTTCTGTTGGGAAAGTGATTCCAACTAGTCATGACATGTTGTCTGGTATTGTAGTTTAAGTGCCTATTAATTTGAAAAGACACTGCATCAACAAAAATAATGAACCTTTGAAAAATAAGAATGTACACTTGATGGAAAACACAACTCAAGCCAGTTGCAAGAGTGTCCTGATTGATTTTCAAACCATAGGGAAATGAATAGAAAACAACTGATACCTGTAAGGGAAGCAGAACATAGTCACATTTCTAAAACAAAATAGTGGGGTTAGGGTGCTAAATTGTTACTTGTGATATAAAGTATGTAGAAAATACATAATTTGTAATGAACCTACTACAACATGCAAAACCACTGATGTGATCATTAGTGGAAGAAGACTCAAAATTGTAGTAGTGGAAAAAGCTGAGCTGCAGTAGTCACTTTTTATGACCATGCAAACGGATGTCCTGTTGAGTCTAGGAGGGACAAACAGAGTCACAAACACAAAGCCTAGTTTCACACTCACAGTAATGTAAACCAGGATGTCCCATCTACCCTGAGGTGGCTGCTTCTGTGGGCTTGTGGCCTTTGACCCCTGCCTAAAGCTTGAAAAAAAATCTGGAAAGGGAAACAAAGAGGACTTATACAGAGACTGCTGCAGCTGGGCAGCTGGAGTCTTGTCAGGGAGAAAGAACTTTTATTACCATTTGGACATAAAACGATAAAAAGGAGCTTTATTTCCCAAAAGAGGGTGAAGTGTAGTATGATATGGGTGAGGTCTTTTATTTTAGGGGAGCTTCTAAGTGATCTTCTAAGAACAGTTTGCACCATCTTTGATAATGTCATAGTTACTGTTGGACTCTTGGGCCTGTGCTTGGCTCAGGTTGGAATATTTGATCAAATTTCATCCAGAGAGACTGAGTTTGTTGCATAATTCAAAACTCCACTTTGACACTTGAACAGATTTCATTCCCCAACATGGAAAACACATCTTAAAATATTTTGGCTCCCTTGGAGTTCTTGCTTTTGCTGCATCTCTGAAAGACTCACAATATGAATTGAAATGAGCTTTCAGTGTCGTTCTGTGAATCCTGTGTCCACCAAAAGGCACCCCAGACCATCTCAACCCTCTTGCTCCCCAGGACGCCGATAGCAGCAATCCTGTATTTTATTATGTGACTATATATATGGATGTCCTATTTTGTTTTGAGATCAATTCCTATTTTAATTGAACAACTTACAGTTATTAACTTGGAATATGTCTTTGCCCAGAAGGATCACCTACTGGACAAAACTATTTTATCTACACCATTTCATAGAGTTTTAATTAACACAACAGAAGATCCCAGTGTCCTTCTCTGTCATTATCAGGGAATATTTTAAACTCATTAAATCTCAGGCTTAATGAAAACACTCAAGACAAACCTAGGATGTGCTGAATGATGTATGACACTGTGCAGCAGCTGCTTTTTTCTCTTGAATTCTATGCTTTCAATTAACAATATCCACCAGAGATTGCTGTAGGCAATTTAAAGTATAAGACATAAACATTACTGCAGCCAGAAATGCTGTGTATTGATGTACATACAAGTGCTGTGGCTTAAATTGCTTGTGATTTGGAAAAATGCTGTTTTTTCTTGGACGCCTCAGTCAAAATGTGCAGAAAACACTCATTAAGACAGACCACAGATGGAAGTCTTGGCGTGTGATTGCCTCCATATATGCAGGTGTCTAGAGGCAAAGCAAGCAATGAATAGGAGACACAGTGAATTCATGCAATAATTGAGTTTTTTCAACAAGTTGTACTTAAACAATTTCTTAAATGTCCTGGATCTGCACATATACAAAAAATCCTCTTAGGTGGGGTCACTTCCTTATCATTAGATAGCTCACTGATTACCTGCAGAGTATACAACCGCTTCAATGTCACATTCCTTATTTGTTATTTGTATTGAATTGTCCTAGGGCAAACAAAAAAGATATGAGCATGTTCACTCTCTAGCTTTCTCCTTCAAGCCAAATGGTGCATGCCACATAATTGCCATGTCAACTGTTGGCTTCCGGTTGTGGCTTGTCATGCCCCACATTGACTGTCTGTACCTGTGTGCAGTCCACTGTCAAATAAAGGCAAAAATGTGTTTGATAAAATAAACTACTACTACGCAAGCCAAAAATTTAATTCCAAAATCAAAACATGGTTTCATTCAACAGATATGTAAATTTGTCATTAACACAAAAGCTGCAATATTTTCAGTCTCAGAGAAAACAGGTTATAAAGTTGCTGATTTTCTGTATTGTTCTGATTGTTAAGAACATTCATGAACAGGATAAATCCAACAACAGACTGACTTATTGCCAATTGTTTTCTGTGTCTCCATAGCCTGATACTTATTCTTCTGTGCGGCAGAGCTAAGTTGGTGTTCAGAAACTATTAAAACACACCAAAGAGTCACACCAGTGAACTGGCAGCTATGATCCCTAATTATTATGAACAAGGCCATAAGTTCAAAAACTCAACATCCACTAATTAGCGTTGTCTGGAGAAGACTTTCTTCAGCTACGGTTTCCAATGTCAAGAATTAACTGCCACCCTTTACATTGAGCCCTGTACTGTATTTTGAGTCAAAACCACATATACCACCCCGGCACCATAATACTCTAGCAGTAGTTTTCATTTGCAGCTCAAAATCTGCCCAAACAAATGCACTATTTACTGCTGCTTGAGTAATATTTGCTAAAAACTACAGTGCTCTGCTGTTAGGAAATGACTTAACCTTTTTTAAAGGCTATATTTGTGACCCAGTTTTAAACATGAACATCTTCAGAAGGAACTTGGGGTTACGAGCAACGGACAGTGTACGGAAGTCGGAAAGTACTGAAAGATGCTGGGTTTAAGCTTTTTCCAGAGTTTACTGACAATAAAAATATAGAATTACACTACACCACCTTACCGTTTAAGATTAGATTCAGCGAAATGCAAATCAAGTTCAGACAACGACAAAATCAAGGCAGCTAACAAGACGGAGCTCTGTTTGGTTGACATTTTATTTCATGGTGGTAGGAACACAAGACAAAGTTAGTAATGTTCAGGTCATGCCAATCTCTCTTGGTGCACTGCCCTTTGAGGAGGTTTGCGCAGTCAGACAGTAGTTTACAGAGGCCAGACATGGAGGGTAATCCACGTGTAGACATAAATAAGAAACAGAAAGAAAACAGATTCAAAAAAACAGTAAATAGAAGATTTTTTTTGTAAAAAGCCAGAGGGGTAGTTTGCTGAGGCCCTCTGCAATTTTTTTTGTGTGTGTATAGCATTATTACTAGCATACTAGTCATTATTAATTTGTATTACTCATTTACATTATGGGGATGAGGCTAATACACTGGCTAAAGAAAGGAAACAGTTACATGGGTGATGTTTTTGTCACCCGTTTAGAGTTGGGGTGACATGTTTTTAAGGCAATTCATCGTTTCCACCCAAACCACAGACTGCAACTGTCTTTACTGTTCTAGAGTCCATCTAAATACACAGGATTCTCTTCTGTAGTAAGTGTTACCCCCTGAATGGGCCAAATGCAAAGTACAGTGTGGTAAAATAAGACCAGTAAAGGTTAATAAGTGAGTGGGGAAATTAAAATGTGTCATGTGAAACCAAAAAAAAGGGGTTTTCCTGGTCTGGTGTGGACACTCTGAGCTTGACTACATACAGCACAGTTATAGCTTTGGGGCTACCCTTCCCCCATTGTACATAAGTGTATCATCGTGTGGGTGAAAAGACAAGTCAGACATGATTCCAGTGTATATTACTAAAACAAACCTCCACAGATCACACAATTGCTAAATTTACACTTAAAAATTGCAGGGCTGTACAAAACAAACTGCTTGATGATTTAAAGAAGGGAAACACAATTAAGAACTTAAGAAAGAAAAAATAGTACAAGACCATTGACACTCAACCATGAACAGGCATGATTTTGGCTTTGAATATTGCCAAGGTTCTCATATCAAAATGAGTGTCTGTAAGTCAGTCAGCGCAGCTTATTGTGGTTCAGCAAAGACGACTCCACATTGCATCAGTTCACTGAATGCTACCAAATTTGCACTAGTGATACAAACTCATGCGTTGCTATGTTATTTTGCAAGTACTGTAGGATAATGCAGGTCTTCCCATTTCTGTGGCTGTTATGGCTTTGACCGGTCACAAAATCACGTTCTTCTCTCTCTCAGCCAAAAAAAAAAAATAATAAAATAAAAAATAAAAAAATAACCTCATCCAGGAATGCTCCTAAGTCAAACAGGAAAGGAAATTAAATCTCTGGCAGAGTTTTGTTGAAGCTTTTTTTGTGTTGGCTGTTTGACAGTATATTCCCAAGAGTAGTAGCTCTCCCCTTGATAAGATCTCTCCTCGCTTGCTTTCAGCCTGTCCATTTCTGCAGTCTTTGCCCTCAGCACCTCCTTAAGGTCAGATATGGTAACAACTCTTCTCCTTATGCACTGTTCAAGGTCCTGCAAAACTAACTGCCCCCAAGAAAAATTTAGAAAAAAAACCAAAGGAAAAAAAAAAAAAAAAAGATACAGAAAACAAACAAGCATAAAACGTCTGAGCTCTGCAGTTTCTGAAATCACATCAGCGGAAATAATTGTTGTGGTCAATGCAAAGACAAAGAAGAAAATGACATTTTTCAAATTACAATTTTTTTAAAGAATAAAATGAAATAAAAAAACAAACACAATCCAAATTCAAACCAACACTGTAGAAGTGCATGCATTTATAGTGGTCATCACTAGTTCGTCTGCTGATTGTAAAACAGAATGCACAACAGTACATGTGACGCACAACTCGTCAAAGAGAACCCATCTTACATATTCACAGTCTCAGGTATTTATTTATATACTCTATATTTATATATAACATTAATTCATGTCTATGATTCATGTCTTGACATATGACTAATGAAATGCGAGTCATTGTAGAACACAGCGCTCTCTCCGTCATGTCGGGTTGCAGTGTTAGTGAGTCATATTTCAAAACTAAAGGCTCTGATGGGTTTCAGATCAAGTGGATAGTTTTTCTTTCTTTCTTTCCTTTTTTTTGCTGCAATGAGATGGGGGTTGATCAAATGGTCGACTGTGTATTTTCTTACTGAAGCAGCTTGGCTGATATTTGAAAAGTCCCGTTAGGCAAATACAGTGGACTACCAGAGCTGAACACAGAGTTTCTTGATTGTAGATGCCAGCTGGCTGCAGCATCACAGAACTACACACTGGCTATAGCGTACACTGCGTCCAGCTCTCATGGGGGGAATGTATGTCTATATATACAGTATCATGTATAGGCCATGCTTGGGGAATGTGGATGGTGGATATGGCACCAAGACAAGGCAGTAACCAGAGATCATCGGCAAGGTCCACCATCGTTCAAGTAATGAGCGAGGAAAAGGAGCAGGCCTTTTTCTAAGTTGGCGTTTGTTTTAAAACAACAAAACTGACGAGATTAAAATATCTCTTTTCCACAGAGATGCCTGCTTTTAGAAGAAGGTGAAGAGTCAGGGCAGTAAAGAAAAACGGTGTGGTATAGGTAAAAAAAAGAACAAAATATATAAAACCAAAATTAAAACAACATATTCATTTTCTTTTCATATAAAAGGCAATGAAAAGTATACAAAAATAGAAAATAATTACAGCAGGAGACATGGGCGCTATGGAGGGAGTGGGTGGGAGGGGTTCTGTATTTTCTCTGCTTCTCTCAATGTTTTGTCTTTGACGGGTTATTTGGCGGCAGGACATTGCAATATTTTGGGGCTGTTTAAGGCATCCTCCACCAGGTGGAGCTCCACGCCGTCCACCACCACATCCTTGATACAGCCAACAAAGCCGGTGCTGTAGGCCTTTGGCAACCGACGGGCCACCGCCAGCTCCTCCAGACCACCTGAGGGAAGACGGAGGCAGGGGTTAATATGAGGATGAAACAGCATCCTGTACATAAACAACAACATTAAGAAACAACAACAGTGAGTAAGACAGAATAATTATTGCAAATAAAGGCAAGTTAAACAGCTTGGCTCTCTAAAGAAGCAACTAGTTTTTATGTGTTTTAGAGGGAATCTTCAGGTATTCAGCTGAGGTCAAGCACCAAAAATGCTGGTGGCTACATTTCTGTTATATTGCTAATAGCACTGTTTCTTTGACCCTACCCTGACACATCTTTCAAACACACGTCCACTTTGTAACACAGAATTTCTGTTTTTTATCTTGAAGCCCAGTCTATGATATCCCCTGATGACATCATTAAGGGTTAATGTCTCAGCTCCCCCAGAGCTACTAGCTACCATCAGCAGCTGATGGACACGACAGGATGACACTTTATTAGTCAAAGCACTGTGATCACGGTGAAAACGAGCCACCCTCCAGCCAGACAAAACTAATAGATGAGAGAAAAGGTTCTTTTAATTTGACACAATGAACAAAGTGCTCAGAGATGTGCTACAAATGAAAGGAGGTGACAAGAGTATAAAAATTATGAAAACCTAATATCCTTACTATAATTAATTTGTTTCCGTCTTTAGTGCTGAGCTCACTGTAAACTCCCCAGAGTGCATCCAGCTGTGTATTCAAAACAGTGACAGCTTTTCCTAAGTCTGGGTTCTTCAACTTCACTTTGACTGACATAAAATAAATCACTTCCTGCATCTGACCTTGTAGCCCAAACACAAATGTTAAAGGTCAGTTCAGCCAATGTGAAACTACTTTCAGTCAAAGAAGTCATCTCCTGTGAAATGTGTTGTTCTCGGTCACTGTTTCTGAGAGGAAATGGTGCCGTTTTGTTTTAACCAAATGTTTAAATGCTGTGAGGAGCAAAAACACAATCAAATCCCAGCATAGTGAGATGGAGGCCCAAACTAAATGGTTAAAAAGCCCATCACAAGATTTAAGTGAGAAAATATGTTAATTATAAATGTATCTAATTAATGTAGTTTCATCCAGTTCACAGATGCTCTTAGCTGTAACACATCTGTGAACTGCATGCACGTTCACTCACTCGTGGTTGCATCTTTCAGTCGCAGAAAATATAAAACTAGACATTTATTAATAAAAAAATATCATGGATTTGCACTTCAAAGCAAATGTTTCAGCGCCTTGTACTTTTCATTTTTCTTCAACTTCATTTTATTTAAATTTTTTTTAGCACCTACTGTTCTATTTCAAATAATCCAAACTTCTATACAGTTTTTTCAACAAAGTCTCATATGTTACTGAAGAACTGATGACCTAATTGCAGGGTATGCGGCTGGCTCCGTTTCCTTTTTGATGGTGTTTTGAGCTACTCTTCTCAGCCCGTACACCCAAAGTAGTCATTAGTGTCTTTCTCAGTAAATTAAACATCTTTATTCTTAATTTCATGAGATCTTAAATGGAGACAGGCTGACCACACTTTCTGATGTTCTACCTGCTGCCGTGCCAGCTCTGTCACTGTCTTCCTCTCTGTTATCTACACTGTCCATGTCTTGTATCCTCTTTCTTTCTTCTTTTTATATTAGTCCCCCCACATTAATCATCTCACCATCTCTTCCATGTCTTCTCTTTTTAATCTGTAGGTCTGAGACTTCACATCCGCCTCACAGTCTTTACATCCCCTGTCTCTGCCCCCTTTTAATGGGATTGTGCGCCTACAAATTAGGGATCGACAGGGCTAATTTCATGCAAGTTACAGATGAATTAATGATGAACAGTGAAAAGGGGATTTATAAGAAGCAGGGCCCTTCATGAGAGAGCTGTGTGAGGATTATGTGTTCATGCTGCAGGGACTGCTCAGCACCTGTTCCACTGCACTGCCTCCCTGTGTATGTTTGCATACTTGTACCTGAGTGCATAGCCGCACCTCTACACGCACCATCTCTCAAATGTCACCCGGGCTACTTCTCCTCTCAAACCTGCCTCTTTGCTGCTATGCACTTTGCATTTTAAAGAAAAGTCTGATTTGATTTCACTGCCCATCTTCTATGTTATTTCCTCAGAAGGTTCCATCCTGCTGTGCAGTGTGTGTTCTTTAAAAAATATTTCTCTGAGCCAAGTTCAGTCCAAATTGAACTCGAAGTAGATAACTGGTGGACTTTGGTCATTTTCAATTCAGGAGAGCAGGCAAGTTTTGAGTTAGTCAGATAGCCTTTCATTCCTCAGCTCAATACCCGAACAGGTCTGGACATTTTTTTTTCTACTCAAACTGCAATCATTTTCCCCTGACAGAGATGCTGCTTATCCTCTGCAATGCCAATGAGTTCATTGCTCATTTTGTCAACCTTCTACCAATGGTTAGGATGAAAAATTACTACAGACATGGCATTTGTAGACACATTTTCAAGTCTGAATAACAGTTTTCTTTTACTTTTTAATATTTATAGGCACCTACCCAACCAGAGTGCTCCATCTGTGTCCAGCTGTGTTGCTGCCAAAGGCGATGACCCTGTTACTGCTGCCTCATTGCCAACCTGTAGAGAGCCATCTCTGAGCGCTCTAAAGAGGGGAAAGAAACAGAGAGAGATGCAGTTGGACGTTAGCCTGATGCATGCATGTCACACTGAATAGCTGTAAATTGCAGTTTCATTTAATCTGAAGCATCAAGACCCCATTGCTCCACTGCCAGCACACTAAGCACTCACATAACTGTCTTGCCAAGCAGCGTTCTAAATGTGCCTGTCCACCAGCGAACAGATGCTGATAAAGAACCATTCGTTCTAGGTGGCTTTGTTTTATGCATTAGCACACACTTAAAGATTTGCGATGATGGTGCTAATTGGAACCCGCTAAAGTGGGTTTCCTACAAAGAGAGAGTCATTAAAGGCAAGTGGCAAACACAGATAGCTGTGTAACTATGTGAGCTGTATGACACGTGCTGTGACATACGCCATCATCAGCATCTACTGTAAATTATGTCATCTTCCAGTAATTCATGATGAAATTTGTCCAAATCGCTGCTTGAAATGGATGCAGCAGCTTTGATTGGATTGATTAATTATTCTTGTTTACATGATGAAACCAATCTAATTATCCCCCATACTACCATTCACAGCCATACTGAAAGCAAATGCTGAGCAGCGATAAAGCAGAAATCACATAGAAGGGTGTTAAGTGGGTCATTTTTTAAGTTGAGGCAGTTCATTTGTTTCTAAAGAAGTGATCCATTAAAGTGACATCACTGTGTGGCAAAATGTATTGCTGCTTGCATGCTAAAACCTGTGTCTATTCTAAGGGTTATTTATTTATGCAAGTATGTAGGTTTACATACTTTTTTACTTCTATTATCTTTTGTATGTGTAAAACCTCATTAGTTAGTACCTCAATGCACTGTATGTAATGAGTGTACTGTCTGTATACAATGTACAGTATGTGTTAATACAGATGCTGTTGTGAATTTTTATTTCTTTTAATCATTTGTTTTCTCAATAAATTTGCTACACTATGCCAAGATGTGTTGGGATGTTGTCATGTTCTTCCTTTTTAAACATTAATTAATGTGCCTAAGCAATGCACCATACTTACAGTAAGTAAGGCTTGAAAATAACTTTAATCTGCAACTGATCAGTCATCTCAGGGCAAGGGATCAGTGTGTAGCGGAGAATTCATGCAAGACGTCACACACTTGCAGCAACACAAATACAATATGGATTTAATCTAATCCTGGTCTAACTGTGAAAGCTTTCATCCATCTTACCTGCTGGCCTTAATGCGTATCCAGTGGTTTGTGTCGACGCGCACCGAAGAGCGCAGCACCACAGGCTTGGATCCCAAGTCGTACGTCATCTGGACGTGTCCGTCCACGATAGCCAGGGCGATGTAGTCTGAGCGTTCCACACCCTTCCCGCTCCAGAGCACCAGGCCCTGGGTTGCCTCTGTCCGGATGCTCAGCTCAAATTTGTTCACCAGCAGAGCCTTCTCACTAGGAGAGCAGAAATACTTCAGTTAGCTGCTGGTCTAATTCATCGAAAAGAGTTCTCAACTTTGGTGTAGCTGACACAGCTCAGCTGGTGCTGGTGTCATTTGTAGCTGTGAAGCAAGTGAACTCCGTTGTTGTCTTAAGGGTACATTACCCATGACTCAAGAATGACATATGGTTCTGCTTGCTAGCACATTTAGCCTACAGCCTCATAATAATAGACAATGATTGCAGTGATTTTTCAGGAGAATCAGGATGCAGACAGAAGCAGGGGGCTGTTTTGCTATTAGCTTTCCTACATCCTACTGAGCCAGAGCTGCTCAGTGCTTCCTGTGTTACTGTGTGTGTTGTTAAGGCAGCTGTTTGATCTCCAGTCCCCTGACTGCTACAGCTGTGGTAGTAATTGGGAAGTGGAGACTAGCAACTTCCACCTATCCTGTATGTTTACTGTCACAGAGCTGCGAGAAAAATACATCACGTGTGCCTCTACGGTGTGTGCGCACTCAAACATTATCATGCATGCAAACACACTTGCAAAATTCCTCTCTTCTTTGTGGGTCCAGCAGATATACAGTAGAATCATACCTTCAATTTGTGTTAGGGTGTATAATTGTGTGTGCATGTCATCAGTCAGCATCTGTGCACCTGTCTGCACACCTGACAAATGGATCTACATCCATCTTCTACAAAGGGTATTTAAACACAAAGACAAAGACATGGTGAGGATACACATGACAAAGAACCAATGAAATGTGGATTAAAAAAAACAGCAGTGTAGCTGGAGATAAAGATTAGACAAGACAGATGACAAGACAAAGGAGGCAGCACAGCAAACACAGAGGCTCATGGGAGTACAAACAGGACAGGAAATGGGAGGGGACAAAGAGAAACTGAGAACGGCAGATTGTCCTTAAACTGTAAGAAGTTTTTTCCCCTCAGTATCTGAGTATTTTCTATTCAGTCACAAGCAAGAATAAGAAAGAACTGCTGGCCTAAGGCAGCTCACAACAATGCTGTTTCACCTCAGCAGACAGAGGGAAAAAAATCCAGAATCAAATTTGATTTTCTCCCTCAATAACATGCTTAGGTTGGAAACTTCAACCTCCTTGATTTGCTGAGGTAAAACGGACCAGAAAAAGTATCATTTAAGTGCATCCTATTTGCCTTTTTCACCAGAGAGAAAAAAACAACAACACAAATACAGCTAATGCAGCTCAGTGAACTCTCTCCTGGCATACCCTCAAAAGCTTACAGGGCCCAATAAATATCAATCAGAGCAACTTGTCGGTGATAAGGTCAAGGTTATTTAAAGTGTTGAATATATCATGAATAAAACAACTCTGGCATTCTAAATCTTATATACACCACCAACTTAGAATAGCTCTGTTGTGTTGCTGTTTCCTTTTGTAAATGGAAGGATTTTATCAACCTCTAATATGTATTCAAATTCTCAGAAGGCTTGTCAGAGTGCTGGCCTTCATTTCAACTCTAGGTGGCAGTAGTTGTTAGAATAATAAGGGAGGACAGCTGCTGCAAAGCAGCTGCTGCTCTGGTTGGTTCTGTGCTGTTATCAGAGTTCTGAACTTCAGAATTAATTGCAGTGTATGCACAGACTCTTTGTGATTTGCACTGCTAACTATCTCAATAATGGAAACAATGTTTTTTTCTGCAGAAGAGGATTTAGCCCTGTGAAAGGCTGGGGAGGGGTTGTCTGGAAAGAAGGGCAGGATGAGGAGACGAACAGACAGCACCAAAGTCTAAAAGCTTCAAGAGACTCACCTCTGGTCAGATGGGTTCTCCAGAGACTCAGGACTTTAAGGGAACAGGGAAGAAAGTCAATGGCATGCAGTGTAAGCGCAAGAGGCCAGAAGGAAATAAGGAAAGGGGGAAGAATTGAAGGGAGACTGTTGTGAGCACAGTGGGTGACTCACAGAAGTCTAGTTGAGACCTGCAGCTGCAAAAAGCATAACTTATCTACTCTACTACAGTATCGACCATGTCAAGAGTCGATAACAACGGTTGTGTGATCATAGGCAGTGTGCAGCTTTGCCCTTATCACACCACAACCATAAAAAGAGGTTCTCAAGGGAACCGCTCAGGCCAAGACAGATGACTAATGCACCAAAATGCCCAGGGATCAAGCTTTTTTTTTTTTTACAAGTGAGCATTAAGATTATGAACAACCATGGTAAGTGCCCACACTGGTACAAGGGCTAGTTTAAGTCAGCATCCAATTACTGAACAACTCCTTCTATATTTATGTGGCTGCACTTTGTCGTACAGCAGCTATTACCTTCTGTCTAGAGATGAAAGCAGTGAATGAAAAAAGTGGGCATTTGTCAAAAAATGGGGTCAACCGCCATATCAGCAGAGAGATATGATTTGTCACTGAAATAATGGGGCTTGAGCAAATCGACCAGAGCCTTCAGACACAGACAGAGAAGTGAACGAGGAGCAATCAAAAGGTAGTGTAAATAGTAACAGAAACATTAACCCAAGGTGAGCATTTGACATTCTGGCCTCACCCAGCTCTTAGTTATTCATATCCTTTACAAAATCAAATTATGCCAAATTGATCAGTGCACCTTCAGAGTGCTGCAGCAGGGCTCTGGGTTGCTTAAGATTCACGCTCATCGCAGCTCTTAGTAAATGTGACATTCATTAAACTTTTGACAGTCTGGCTCCAAAGGCCACTGTCCCCTCCTGCTAAGTGAGACTGATGCCCAAGGCTACACAGTGCACAGGGATCCCAAATGGAGGTCTAATCTATAAAGGAAGACAAATCTGTGATTAACATGTCAGTGTCTCTCTATACGGCCGACTCTGTAATTATTCACAATTACAGTTAAAGATCTGGCAAAAAGGCAATGACAGCAGCCCTGACATGTACGGGAACTACGCATCAGGCCGGCTTAATTTGAGTTGAACACTACTTTGCCGCTTTGTGGGATTTTTTTAAAAAAGAGGTTACTTACCAAGGTAATGAGCAGAAAGAAAACCTAACTAAATCATAATCAAGGGCTTTCCCAAGCAAAAACTCCTCAGGTGCCAGAAATTAGGTTAAAGGGTATTTAGTGTAGCCTCCTCTTGTTTTTAAAGGGTTTCATTCATTTTCCACATTCAGTAACAGAAAATGTCATTGAGCATAGAGTGCATGGCAATTCATTTTATTTATGAACAACTTACAACCATGCATAAAATATTGCACATTCTTAGTACAGCAATGCATTTTCCCTGGGGGGTGAGCAAAATGCTTATCATGCACTGATTCATGCTTCTGTTCGCACTGAAAAGAAAAAGAAAGTTCTAATGACACTGAAAAGTGTCTTCCAAGTAATGAGTTATGGATATGGTGCTTTAATGTAAAATCTGACTTTAATGGTATAGATGTATGGAGATTATGACCAGAAACTAAATCTACTTGAATCTATTCAGTTGGGTTAACTATTAAATATGACTTCCTTGCTGCTGTTAGGTGGACTTGATTTGAAGCTGGGCAAACGCCCAGTCAAAATGTCTACTTACTCAGGGATCTCATTGGTCAGTTGGCTTGAGTGAAAAGGAAAGACAGTGAAGGACATTTATATGAGACAAGACACATGGACAGCGACAAGGAAGGTCAGACTGAAGAAGAGGACAAGCGACCGGAAAGCTGAGACCACAAACAAACAGCGACACATATAACGGCACGCAGACATATCTGATAGTTATCAAGCTAGTTGTTTCTAAGTGAGCGTGAGTTGCATGTCTCCGTGTGTGTGATAAGCTGCAGGCTGTGGCCCACTTTCACACCGTTGAGTGTTTGTGTGAAGAGCTGTGAGACAAAGAGTATAGAACCATATGCTTGATGTCTTTTCAGGTTCATCACAGATATTTTTGTTGATGCCAACCTGGAGGCGCACTCTTGCCAACCTCGTAGATGGATGGAAGAGTAAAAAAGTCTAATTAGTTGCTTAAAGGGATACTTATTTTTTCTTTTAGACCCATTCCAGAAACAATCTAAAACTTACATCATCTATTTCTCCTTTACAACATGCTAAAAATTGCAGGCAACATGCCTTCAGGTGCCGGTTTTAGGGGGAACAGTCATTTGTACACATTCAAAATAAGAATAAAAGTTTTGTCATACTCTGCTTACTGCACAGCGTCAGTGTGAGCTAAGCAGTAGACCACAGTGTGAGGTCAGCGTGCTTAGGGTAAGACTGTGATTGTTAACCATCTTGCTAATTAGTGCGATCGTGTCAAAAGTGGAGCAGGACTGCCATAGACAGGCAGAATGAGCTATTATCCAAACGCCTAGTTCACCCTGAAGCCCTAGCACTGATGATATCATCATCACAGTCATCAGAGCTTACCAAGGGAGGAGATGGATAGACTGAGGGGTTATTTGGCTAATAGCTATTACAATGGCGATGCTGGAGATGTCCTTACCTCTTTGTAACAGCGTTGTGGTACTCAATGAACGTCCGCCCGTCAAATGCGATGGCCTCTGTCTCTCCAGCAGACTTCTCGTAAATGGCTGTGAAGGAGGGGGTGCAGTGGGGGAGAGATGGTTGTTCAGAGGATGATATCACACCAATCAGTCAGACAGAGGGTTCACTTCCCAGAACTGAAGGCAACAGGATGTGAGCAATGAGGCAGGGGGAGTGCCGGTGTGTTTGTAGTTTTAATTAACATGAAAGGGGCGGCCAGCCGCACACACAAGGTTAATGGTGAAAGCAGTGTGTAAGATAAATCAGGCCAGAGTGAGTATACAGTATGTCTGGCAGAGTGACATGAGGATGATGAAAGGGAGGTGCAACTGTTGAAAAGAGCATGTCATGAATATTCAAAGGACACATTTCATCAGTTTCATAACTGCTGTTTTAGTTTGAAATAAATGCATAATAACCCCAAAGTACAGAAAAAGAGACATGATGGGCTGTGTTTCCCTGCCAGCGCACAAAACTCTCACCATCTGGCTGCATGTAAGTCGACTTTAGAGTCCGTTTTCCAACGTGCCTCCTGCTACACTAATTAGCTCCTCACACGCGCACTTTCACCACAGTCGACAGCCTTTCCTATACTCACACCGGTGCAGAATCACTTTTAAAAATTCCTGGAGCCGGTTGATGAGCCGGATCAGCACCAAAGTCCTATTCATTGTTCCATGGGCCATACCCTACCTCTCCAAAAGATTTAAACTAAATCCATTCATTATTTTTGGAGTTATGCTGTGAACACACAACCCAGCAAACAAAAGTTGGCAAAAACATTACCTCCACCTTGGCAAAGGTAATGAGGGTCTCAAAGCAGGAAAAAAAGACTACTTTCATTGAAGCAAGCCAAGAAGAAGCTGTGGTACATAAAGCATCACTGATTTCAGTCTCTTACTACACTTTAGAGCAGCCAAAATATTGTTATGTATACTTTTAGATTAAAAGCAAATAATGTTGGATAAGGAAACCGAATAATTTACAGTTTTCCTTACAGTGGCACACTGCCACAATAAGGTGATCGGTTGCACCCCCCGCCATTGTGGCAGGGCTCCTGAGAACATGGGTGGTCCTGGTACATGGCCACGTTGCTGGAGCGCAGGGCATTCTCCTCTTTGAGGATGGGCGTACCCATCAGAATGATCTGAATGCAGGAAACATAGGGTTAAAGGGGCCTCCCGTGAATTTTGTAAACACACATATGGTACATCTTACTAGTCATTGTTAGTACTACTCAGTTGTATAATATCACCACGTGTTATCTTGGTTTGGGCTTGGAGACACAATTACACACCTGAATACCCCTTTAAAGTACCTGAAAATTTCTCTTTAAAATCAAATATTCATTATTAAATAAGCAACAATTGAAGATAAAGATTGGTAAACATCTTTTTGTCTTATTTATTAAGAGTTTAAAGTTAAAACACAGCTAATCTGCTTCTTCAGGACTGTGTGTGTCTGTGGATTGATTAGATTAAATAGTGGCCTGAGTGTTATCACCACATTTTGATTCACATGGTGGTAGCTCCTGATTGATGCAAACCAGTGTAGGAACAAAATCTGTAATAAGAAATAACCAAAACTGTTCTAAAGTTGGAAAAAGATTGTGTATTCATCTAGGTGTGTTAGTTCATTCAGTAAGCAGATAGCTGAGGAATGATGTTTTCAGTGCTTATAACACATGGAAAGCTGTATATAATGTTCAGTAACTACAGTATATACCCTACTCCAGTAAGGCTAACACTACAAGTTGTAGTTCACACATAAAGTTCCTAGAAGCTCAAATCAAGTTTTAAAACACAGTCTTGACTTTCCTGTTCCAAACCTACCTGCAGGCTTTTACTGCTAAATCAATATAATCTCATCAAACGCTTCTTAAAATCCATTTTTATAGGCCTGTGCTTTTGTAATGCTATGTAAAATAATAATATACATAATATATGTGGTACCTTTATGATTGTTTTGTTTTTACATTTCTTATCTTTGTTCCAATTCTGTTGTCAAATGTATTTGATTAAAAGTTTATCTCCTTAGCAAAACAATTAGAGAGAGATTATTATTTGTTACCGGTCTATTGTTGTTCAAAGGAAATCACTGAGTCATGGGGCTTTGCCTTTTCCGAGTGTTCACTGTGTGATCTAAGTGATCATTTAAACTAATTCTAAGAACAAATAACTGTGTGCGGCGATGCTGTAGATTCAATTTAATATGTTCTTCCTCTAAACATGAGCTCCACACTGTCACCACACAGGAAAATGCCTCCAAAATTAGGTGTTGATACAACGCGCATGTTAAACAAAACATCAAACTGACACACACACTGTCTTCCTCATAATTAACTAATCCCCATTGGCCAAGTAAGACAAATTCCACATTTAGCTTTAGATTTTGTCTAAACTGTCAAGGGAAAGTTTGCAGAGGAGAACTAATGACAAGTCTGTGCAAACAGTAACATCCTGCCTTTGTTCTGCCGGGTTATTTTTGGCACTCAGAGATGGGCTTTTTGCTGGAAAGTGGAGAAAATAAACTGGAAGGCTGTCAGGGAAAGATGTGCGAATAGTGAAATGGAGAGACTTCAAAAGATGCATTCTATTATTAGTACATGCTAATCCAAATGAGCAGAGCCACTACCCATCACAATGTGAGCTTTTAATGGAAAACTACTAATAAGGGGGTCTGTAGAATGACAGCTGGGGCAGCTAATAACTTATCATTTAACTTTGCTACTGTATGTCAGACGGATCAATCAATCAATCATCACTGCAAATACATTAGAAAAATCCATAAGCAAAGCAAATGACACAATCCTCTTTCAGGAAACAGAAGCTTGTAAACATTTACCTTTTGGATTGTTCCCTTGAAGCCTTCTGTAAGTGCAGCGACTCTTGCTAGCCGGCTGTAATCAGGAGCTCCACCAACAAAGAGAGACTCTTTCAGGTTAAGATCTACGTGCGCATTCTGATGAGACAGGACACAAAGAGATTTCCTCTGGTGAGCTACACCTGAAAATGCGTCATATATATTGTAACTTTAAAAATGCCCTGTTTAATATTTTCTGTGCCCCATCTGCAGTTTCTCCCTGGGGGTTTCTATTCAACACTAAATGGCTTTGGTTTTACTTCAGTAAGTGGAGTTATCTGTTTGTGTCCAGGGAGCCTGAAAGCAGCTTTATCCTTTTAGTCAAGATATAAAAAGTGAGAGTCATATGCCACATTTGCAGACATGTCACAGATTGTCCTATTAAAAAAAGGATTTATTGTAGCTGGCAGATTTTTTAACTGCACTTCCTTACCTTCCTTCCATGTCAGTACACTTGATACATTACAACATAATTGATTTCTATGTCTCTCAGAGAGAGTGGTCAATTATCCTCGATCTGCAGGACATAAAAGAGACTACAAAGGGAAATCAGGAGCAGGCTGGACTTGAGATATGAATGGTTCTTTTTCTCATGAATGGCTGATTATAAGCACTGACCTTTCAAACAGTTGAATGTGGAGACATTATTTGCAATTAATTTGTGCAGCAGAAAGCTATGAAATTCAATTCTTTCCGCCAAACCTTTGGGACAATCACTTTACATTAGCAAGGTGCCACTGCCTTCATTTGCATGGAGTAGCCGGCCCACTTCAGGAGGAAGCTATTAATGATCTTTATTTTATGTAGGGCAGTAATTGCCAGAGGGGTAAAGTGGAGTTAATTGCTGGAAAAATGATGGAAGGGGCCATATAAACAGGGCTTTGTGCAGGCAAGCTGGCAACAGCTCAGCTTTTATTTAGGATGGGATTTAGAGTGCAGGAGGCAGCAGTGTCTGGCTGAAGCCCGAGGCTGTGTCAGTGCACCTTGAGCCGCTTCCAGTAGAGAGAGGGCGCGGACCTTGGCCGAAGTTACTGAACCTAGCTATGGCTGGTGCCTCTAGGCTTAGTCAAAAGTTGTGCAGAGTTGGAAACCTCAGGCTCTTTATGTAGACCTCACTGTTCTGCAACACTCATTCACTCTGCAGGTAAAAGTTACACATGCATATTGAACAAGTCCCCTAAGACCTGTGGTTTTTGATCTTGTCCTACACCTTTATACTCTAAAATTTAAGCGCTCACTACCTGTGTAAAGTTATTTTTCTAGAACTCTAAAGTGAGATTTCATGCAATGAAATGGTGCATCATGTTCTGGTTTGTCTCAGACAGGTAATAATATGTAGCTGGTGAAAGAAGACAGCTGTTTCCATGGAGTGATTGTTGCTCGGTGATGTTGAGCGAGTGTTCTTTGTGTTACGGGCAAGTGAGTGGGTGAAAGAGTGAGCAACTTTATGATAATATGGAGAATTGTTCCTGTTTGCAAAAGAAGCCAGAGCAGATGACAAAAGAACAACCCAGCTTGGCCTGGCACCTCGCTGTCTCCTACGTTATATTTCCTCCCCTTCGCTTGCCTCCCCTGTCTTCGCTCTCACTTTTAGACAGCCACGCAGCACTGGCGTGATATTCCCGCCTACGCCTGACTAATGAAGACATGTCTTTATTGCTAAAAACAATAGCTGTCACAAAGATGACTGCCTCCTTTCCTTCTTCCCTCCCACCTTCCCACCCCCTTCCACTCCCACAGCAGATGGGCCGAGGTGAAAGCCAAACCGTGTTCTTCAAGAGCATCTTTACTTCAGTGGGGTGTGTATGGGCTTATGAAATGGCAAAGTTTTTCTACAGAACTGCCACCTTTAAAGCTGCCTGCAGCTCTGCAGAAGTAGCTTTTTTCTGTGCTGTTGTGTATGGAGAGATGGGGGTGAAAAGACGTAGTGAATGACTCAAATGAAATACTGGCTAAGGTGTGACCGGGACTTGTCTCATTACCTTGCGTGATTTCTTATTTCCAGACAGCACATCATTGAGAAGAAAAGAAAATAGGGAGGAAGAATGTTATTATGGAAGACTAGTAAGTGTCTGTGCACAGAAAAGCATGTGGAGCTACAGCAGGCAAGTGCAAAAGCCCACAAAATACACATTCACATATATAGCACCCTGATTGACATACACATACATACATTTATAGAGCAAGAAACATAGCTGCGGTGTAGCACAGACAAGTGAGATGAGTACATTAAATAAGACTACAAAAAACACGAGTAACACACTTTTCTCACATGCACCTTTGTGTTAAACACTGTACATAAACACAGAACCACAAAGCTTTGCAAGTGTGCGTTGACAGTGAATGCAAGACAGCACGTCTAGGAAGGCTGTGAAGGCTGTGAGTAGATGGTGAATATTTCCACTTAGCCCAACATGATCTACAGACTCTTTTATTGATAGGTGAGACAGATGTTTATTCTCCTCTGTATATGCCTTTGAAAGTACATACTTCATCATGCTGAGCCACCTTTAAAATGATGAACGCTCCCAGCATGCAGTATGTAAATGTGTACATGCATGTGCGAGAACTCTTTTGATATGATATGGGATTCTCTGAGCAAAGTGTATTCTAACTCCATTGCAGGAACCGGAGGAGAAATGGCTGACAGCCATACTCGATGGGGTCTTTGTTATGAACTCCATAACTAGTCCCTTGCTACCCGCAAACCTCCACCCATCCTTTGTTGCTGAAGTAAAACACAACTACCATACAGACAATGGGAAGCAGTAGGGAAAAGACAGAGCAGTGAGAGAGAAGAAAGAACAAGGAGAGTGTGGCGTCTTAGAGGAAGATGATAGAGTTGACAGAGTGCATGTTCATAATCACAAAATACACTGTTTAATATAATTGGATGACTTACAGGCTCATCAAACTGTTAGATTGCCTTCATTTGGAAACATGTACCTCCTTTATTGGTTTACACACAGGGCTGAGATTCTTTACATTATTCTTGCTGCTGCTATTGTATCTTCTTTACCTGCCACCTCCTTAAACAGCACCTCGAAGGTTGAATTTATAGGGCTGTCAGCATACCATCAGTAAAAGCTGCTTTTACTTTCTGTATGCACGTTTTATCTACAGTATGTCAGCAAACTCAAATGCTGAGAGTTTGTTTTTAATGGGATTACAGGAGTCCTAAATAAGACAGCTTGTCAAACTGGCCCACTACATGTGGAGCTCTCCCTCTTACCTTGATGGATGTCGGGAGATAGCAGCATATTTTTATCAAATCGAGCTGGTTTGAACACATGGAGTGAAGCAGTGTGAAAAGGGGGAAGCTTTGCTGATGCGACTGCGCCTGAGATAGCAGGGCAAAAAGAAGCACTAGAACCCGAGGCTATGGCGATGAAATGATGAGAGCACGCAGATGAGCAAACAAATGCGGTATATACGACACAAGCGAGGCTAAGCAGGAGCCGGAGCTTGTTAGCTCGCTTCTTCTTACCGGTGCCTCTCCTCGGACAGGGTCCTTCTTATTCACCATGATTTCTCCTTTGCGGTTGGAGCGTTCCAGGTTGATGGTGTTCCAGACGTTCAGCTGGATCGCTTCTTTACTCCTGAATCACATGCACACAGACATCATGCGAGTTACATCTCAGGAAACCAAGGCCAAAAAAACACCCTGTACAGTAGCTATATAGTGGATGTAATGTACAATTTTGCTGTATGTCCAATAATAAACGGTCATCTTTATGGGATCAGAGCACTCAAAATCTCTTTTATATGTCTTGTCCTTATAAAGTTCTAAATGACAGGGTCTTTATTCTGTATTTTCCTTTAATATCCATTTTTAGATCATGCTAACCTGATGGTAGCGGGTCCCTTGCCCAAGTCATAGCGGAATTCCAGGATTCCATCATTGAGAGAAAGAGAGATGAAGTCTCCTCTTCCGTCTGATTTTTGGCCGTTGTAGAAGATCAAACCATTGGAATTGCTGGCCTTGAGAACCACCGTCATGCTGAGCTTTTGACTGTTTGCACAAGCAAAACAGGTGAACACACCAGAGTCTACAATACACTGCTGTACATACCCAAGATAGAACAAAGTACTGTATACTTGTTTGCTTGCTTTTGGTGCATTAGTAGTCATTTTGTATGGAAACTGAGTAGAGATACTATATACAGTAATCTACATGCTAAGGCAGCTCTGCCTTGGGCACTGACCAAGCTCTGAAAACTACATGACATCCAGTGTTAAGCAATACATACTGTACAAGAAATGACTGTATGGGTTCATGGAGAGACATGGGACTTACCGCAGATCGTGCCCGTAGAGATGGAGCCCCTTCAGCTGCAGGTAAGAGTCTCCATTAAATAGTGGCATGTAAGCTCCCCTTCTCTCAGCCACTGAAAAAACAGAGAGACTGTATTCATACTCATGTCCCAATTTAGTTGCTGACTGAATTGAAATTCAGAAAGAGTCAGAACATCTTTGATGGATCCGTCAGCATTATGGAAAGAGATCGATTTTTGTTTTCAAAGCCTTTGGGATTAAGACTTTCCCTTGACAGAAATTTAAACAAACAAAAAAAAAATTCAAAACCCTTATGCCAGACTGATTACACAGCCTGCCACAGTATAACAAAGAACCTTTGGAGACATTTAGAGTTTAACACCACAGCTGGGACCCATGAAATAATGCAGACATTGTATTTTGGCAGGCCTTTTTACAAATTTATGTCTTTGCAACCGGGCTATGTCTGCTGTCCTGTTTCTCGCTGTCTGGAGTGATTAGGATAGGCACTGTGCCATCTTTCTAACAAGTGGCTTGACATTAAAAATCATTCCCGTGTCACCCAGGGGAATGTATTTACGGTGTTGTTTGCAAAAACTACCATCATTCAGAGGCAGGTGCAATAATAAATGATCACACACACATAAACACACACAAACTAACACACATACCTATGTAGTCAGCAAGAAAGCTTTTATTTCTAATTGACTGGGATTAGCTGAGTGGAGTCTGGATGACAAGGCAGACGGCGATGAGAAAGCTAATTAGCTATTGTGCACAAGACTGCTAATGATGATGGTAAGCACCATGGAGGAGAGGGGAAAATAGTCTTGCACACACAACAAGGAACCGTGCCCTAAACTGAACTCCATAGGAGTAACAGAGCTGCTCAGAAAGTAATTTCTTATAAAGGAGTTTTCTGTTTCACCCTGTGCTCTGAATACTTTGTGATCAATAAGGCACTAGAGGTCCTGGTATTGGAAAGAACTGAGTGACCGGGAAATCTCAAATGAAAGATCGGCCGGTTAAACTTCAAGACCAATAAAAGTCAGTCAAGTTAAATTTTGGAGTCGTCCATGAATGAAGGAGAAATAAACTCAAAACTGGAAGCTGGGGTTGATGGTAAGCTTTGAGGTAATCTTATTTATATTTGAGCAATGCTGCCTAATTAGTACTTGCTATAAAAGCCAACAAAACAATATTAAATTAGGAAAGGCAATAAAAAAAGCAGATGAAATGAATATATTTTCAGTTCAAAGATCTGTCGCTGCAATCAAAGCTCCTTCGACAATCAGTTTTTCGACACAGCTGCTTGCAGAATGAACCAGACACACACGCCGTCTCTCACACACACAAATCTTAAATGGTCCCCGGCTGTATGTAGCTAAAGCGCAGAATGTAAAACATCGGTGAAACTGTTCCCTGTAGTTAGTTCTTGTTTTCATCGCTAAATTGTAATGATTTACACCATCACAGAGTAAAAGCACTGAGAAAAGTAGGCCATTCAATACTACTGGAACACCCTTGAGAGAGGTTCTTGATGGTGAATATTATTCTAGAAAAGTACATGGACAAACCCTGGTGGAACTGAAATGGACACCGCAGCTCAACTGAACAGGCACGCACTCTCAGATAGACACACTTCATATTATGACTAATTCACCTTCAGGCTTCTGATGAGTGGGCTCTAAGCTACCTGTCTTTTTAAATGTTCTCAGTGCAGCCCCCAGAGGGTATGTCTGTCTGGATGCCGCCTTGTCTGTGAGCTCCTGTCTGGCACTGACACTCCAGTTGACTGACGCTCCCATTAATCACCACGGGCAGGGAGGACTGATGCGATTAGTCATCTCATTGATTCTTGTGAAAAAAATATTCTTTTGGAATAGGAGACGCTCTGGCTCACACACCACTGATTTTGGTTCACCTCAATTTATTTTAATCACTTGATAACTGGGATTTGGAGTTAAGAAGGAGGCTATTTCTATCTTGCCTTTCTAAACTCCCAGGAGCACAAGGGTGTGTGCTTCTCTATTTTTTAGGAATCGTTCCTTAAAGTGTATTCTCTTTCATTTGATTCCAGAAGTCAACTTGCTGAAACATTCATGACATCTACAAAATCCAGGAGGAAAAAAGATATGGATAGGCTCCAGAATGGGACACTGCCAAAAGTGCTAGTGAAGAACTTCACAAGCAGTTGAGCTGTGCTCTGGTCTATTCCCCAGCTGTAGCCTGGTTCTGCCATGTAGAGATAAGTATCAACAACCATATGTGAACACAACACCTATGGGCAAATAGGCAGGGAGTGAAGGCTGTGTCTTTGCTGCTGCTTACTCACTAACAAGTGTAGCTCAGTTGATGTGGTGAACGGCCCAATGGGGCCAATCATTCACCTCAGCTCTACAACCCAACAACTCCCCTGCCCCCTCCCACCCTGAAGCACAAGATCCCCTCTTTCTGTGCTTGATCTCCCCTTTCAATTCAGGATGGATGGAAATATCATGTAGTGGAAAGAGAAGAAGAAGAAAAGAGGCTTCAATGAAATAAGGTGCTACTCCAGCCAACTCTAGACTAGTACCAGAGAGAACAACTGCAGCATGAAGTGACAAAGTTACACCAGGATATAGTTGTAGTCAAATTACCTTTCTCGCAGTGCCTCCCTTCATGTCCCATGGGGCACTCGCATTTGTAGCCTCCCTCAGGCTGTGCCTGACACTGGGAGGATGGATGGCACATGTTTGGCTCACATGGGTCATGAATGTCAGCACAAGTTGGACCTAGAGACACACACACACACACATCCATCACAAAAAAAGTCACCAATGAAACTAACAACAACCAGCAATGTTTTCAGCCACTTTCCTTTTAATATCATCTGAGTGAGGAGTGGGCAAAAAAAAAGAAAAGCAGGGTATGAGGATTTTCTCTGTAATAGAGGTCACTTTTAATAGGATTTGAAAACATTACACTTCCAGATTAAATAGTGGCAAGCCTCCCTGCCATGCGGCCGTGTTTCTAGGCCAAAACCGACTGTGGAAAAGGCTTGTGCGTGTCTGCTGGTTGATGGTTTGGCCTCTGCCACAGCCCATCTGAATTCACCCATCATTACTTTAGTAGTCAGAGCCTGTGGTGAGGAGAACACTTTAATGAATCCCATCCCCGCTGAGCTCACAGGGCTCCCCCAGTTTTTCCTCACTCATGCCTTTGGAGGCTTTTATCCTCTGCTCTCACTCCTTCCCTACCACAGTTCATCTCCCATCTTTTTAACTCTCATAGTCTCTCACCTCCCTCATTCATCTGACTGTCTTGACATGTTCTCACTCTAACTACAACTCTCTCCACCATTATTCTCTCTTCTTGCTTTCTGTGGTCTGGCCCTCCCTTCCACCAGACCAGCAATCTTGGCCACTTTCTAAACTTACATGAACACAAAATGTGAGTCCGCAGGCAGTGATCCAAATCTCATTATCACCATTAATTTTACACCATGTTGCCAACACTACTTTGATCATGGTTGTGCTTCATCAGGGTAGAGTGTTATCTTCACTTTATTTCAGGCTTCCCAATAATAAGAACACATAGAATTACCGCCTATATGAAAGGTAATGTTATACTAAAACTTGTGCTTATGAGTCACATTATAATTTCAAGGACAATGGCTCTTAACACTTGCTTGTGATGCATTTTCTCTAACTGCTGAGCTGAGTATATAATTCCCTGATATTCAAGCATAAAAGGTAATTCTGACTACTAATTTGGTCCTGGTGTGAAACCATCTGCAGTAGGTTGTGGTACAGCCAGCAAGGGTCATGCTTGGCAAGGCCCTGATGGTGTCTGGTCTGGAAAGATGAGAAAGGGATGTGGAAGTAGAGATAGGCCAAAGGCCAATCACTGAGCGTTTGGTGGATGTTTGTGTGCTGCCTGTGCTGTGTCAACATTTAATCTGTCATTTCTGCGTTGGATACACAGATATGATGGTGCTGGTGTTTATAAAATGTCGCTCAGCACTCCTCCTGCTGGGGGCAAATTATGCTGTCAGGCTTACTTAGGATTTGTGAGCTAAGTCATGACCACAGTGAATCCCTGAAGAGAAGGCAAAGCAAAGATGTAAACATAAGTTCAACTACAATGTGTTGGAAAAATCTGAAAATTACACATAAACAATACATACTCTCATTTCCCTGCGCGCACACACACACACACACACCCACTTGAATAAACCTCTGAAACTGCCACAAAAGACCAGAAATCCCAGAATGATAACTAGGAACACCAGCGGAACCATTGGCATCTTACCCCAGAATCCTTTGCTGCACTTGCAGTGAAACATCTCGGCCTCCTTGACCTGGCATGCAGCACCGTTTTTGCAGGGATTTGGCTGGCATGGGTTGTTGCCACATTCACCCACACCACTGCCGTAAAGACTGTCACCCCCGCTCTCCTGCAGGTTGAGCACTCGGTTGTTGACGTCCAGCAAGCGGATGCAGCCCACCAGCCCTGTGGCCACTGCTGTCCTTTCCTTTACACTAAGGATGGAAAGGGAAATGAAATAAGTGAATGTAAAATGCCACAGTTACAATTACAATTATTAGACTAATAGCCCTCACTTGATAACACTGAACTATAGGTAAGAAATATGTTATATGCTGCCTATTATTGCTGAGCCAATTAATGCGACACTGTATCTCAATATATTACAGTAAGGGGTTAGGCTGAAGAAGAGTTTCAATTTTACTACAGTAAGTTTCTTTGCAGTCCCTTGATGGATCAGTCCTGATTGTTGTTTATCAGTTGGTGCTTACATGCTTGCAAAGTGCTGTAAAGTGTCCTCCTTTGGATTCAGTCCATCCTTTCTGACATATTTAACAGCCCCTGTGCCCCGGTTTCCACAAATCTATACATACAATCTATAATTCAATGGAAACTGTCAGTTGACAAAGTCTTGTCATTTGAAGCTTTGTGTACACAGGCATTCAAGCTCTTTTGAAGGTTGCTCACAAGCTCAAATTATTCCTGTAATCTTTTTTTTTTATCTTTCTTGAATAGGAAAGTAAATTACAGAGCAATAAATTTGCTGCCTTAGATCCAGTAAATTCAGGTGCAGTAAACAACTACTTTGTACTATATATTATAAATCTGTGTGTACATGTGTATAATATTATTGCAAGTAAGTAGTGAGTAAGTTAATATTGTAAGTAAATTTGACCTGACTTTCTGCAGCCAAACGTTGTAGGGTTGAGGTGCATGGGGGGGCTAGAGGGCTTTCTTTCATACTGTAAACACTGAAGACAGAGATGCTGACACATCATGTCTGTGCTTAATTAAAGAAGTACCTAGGAAGGATTACTCACAGTGAACTGATGTGACTCTCCAATACAGTGCTGCTGTATAAGACCATAGAATGAATGCTCCAAAAACTATTTAAATCATTTTTTTAACCAAGTTCACATCCAAGACATTCTAATTTTCATTTTATAATCCCAGTGTCAGCTGAAATGATAAGAGGTGGTCCCTGTTTACTTGTCTAGTCCAATATAAATGATGCCCCTTTTCTAAATAAACTTCTATTTAGTTATATTACCACAAATCTGGGGGTAAATAGCAAAATTTTGTCAGAGTTAATCGAGTTGGGGAAGCATGATGTAAAATAGATAACTAAGGTGAAAAAACATGACATGGACAAAAATGTAAAACTAAAATCAACAAAGTGCTGTATGTATTAAGTGGAATGCAGGAGTCAATATTAAAAGCTACAGTATAAACTGAAAGCTTTGATTCTGCTACAGTTGATAAATTTCTGTCTAATTTACTTCCTGCCCACGGTATCTAATCCTAGATGGAAAAATCTTACTCCTGCTTCATTTCCTCAGGCACTCCTCCAATGAACAGGTGGGTGTCGAGGTTGAGGCCGTCTGTGCCGCGTGGGCTCTCGCCCTCAATGTGCGGCTCGTTGTCCACGCTGAGCATGGCATTACGCCGGTTGCGAGTCACCACCAACTGATGCCAGCGGCCCTGGCTGATCAGCACTTTGCTGACCAGTATGCCTGTGCCTGAACCTGTGTTGAACCTGAGAAGATGGGATAGAAAGTATGTCAGATGCTCATTTAGTCAACCTTATCCAACACTCATTTCATACAGTACCTGTCAATTTTCACTCAGATTATAGACCTGAGGTTATTTGCCACACAATGTCTTTGTTTTTAATGTGATTTGTTGAGAAAGAAGACCGCATCATCACAGAAAAGAGCCGCCGTGTATGTGCACCCACACATATGGCAGTGTTAACACAACCTGAGAGCAATTATCTGTCATAAATAATTAGTTCTTCTCCACACATCTTGGCTATGCAGAGCTGTGACTGGTAATGTCACAGCTGTATTTCTTATATTGAGGCAAAGCTCCATCTGAAAATGCAAGTGACTAATTATCTCTTTTAGTTTACTACTGATTTCCCTCTGAATAGAAAAATGTAGCCTGGACAGGTTGGAGCTAAAATGGCTTCAAGGGTTCATGGTAAAACATGTGACTCAAAACACATGGAACTGCTGAAATAATAGGTCCAAAACAGGCACACTGCAGAATGTGTAATTAGTCTATTCATAGTTCTTCTGAAGCCACTGTCTTTCCTGGAATGATTTCTCATTCATACTGTACAATTCCTCTGTCAGAAAAGAGATTAATACTTTGTGTTTCTGCAGGGGTCTGGCGGCAAAATTGTCAAAAAAACATGCATTGTTCAACTTTACTATACATCTTAAATGGGCAGTACAACGATTTTACATGTCAACGTGAATTTACTTATCATGGGGGGTAATACTCAGACTTCGCGTTTACTCATATTTTAGGTCTTGCAAGTTCCTAAGACTACTCAAACAACCATATACATTACACACATTACACATTGTTATGCACAAAATCAATCAAATGCGGAAAGATGGTATAATAAAATCTAATATTAAAATATACTGTATATAATTTAAGATCATGATATTGAGAAATATTGCAGTGTAGTCTAACAGCATAACCATATATGTATATAACTTATTTACCTGATATGAAGGTTTGTCTTTGCAATACTGCAAAGATGTTCTACTTGTTGATTTATACAGTAACATTGCATGTAATGCCTAATGCAACCAAAATGTTACAGTTTTAGCCTACATAAATGCACTAAAAACATATAATAACTATAACTGTGGTAGCAACCTTTTTCTGTCGTATAGGAATGTTGCCTGACCCCAGTATGAGTCACCATATTCAGATTTTTAAATCAATACATATTTAATAAATGCATTGATTGCTATTGGTCCAGACCTGCCCTGTGCCACTATTTCTATACATAGCATAGTTACCCATGTCCTCACTGCACAGTTCTGATGTACAATCACGTAATGTCTAATGCATCTAGCAGCAATTTCTGTATACATTTCTATAACTCATTGTAAATACAAACATCACACATGCACATCCAGCCTCAACTCTCAATGTATACACAGGCAATCACCAAGAAGTGCCAAATTTTGTCTTCCTGCACATATTTGTGTGCATATGTTCCCTCCATCTGTAAACACGATCAAGCAAACAGCTTATTTAGAAGTTTGAACACATTTCTGAAAGCACGTCTTTACAGCTTTAAATTGCAAATCTGTCAAAAAGCTTCTTTATCTTTAATTATTTTCTGGCTGTGGTGTTTTCAACATGTTTACTTGCTGTAATTATTTGGCTTATAATCTTCAGTGCTCTCTATTTATTTTATTTTTATCCACAACTTCTGTCTCAGTTGCGACTGCAATGACCCTGTTTCCTCACGGGGATCATTTATGAAATGTAATAAAGAAAAACTACAATTAACACCGTGCGGGGTATATGCTTCTGTCAACCACACAAGTTGCAGTTTACATGCGTGTCTATCCAGACTCATATATGATGGCAAATTAAATAAAAGATATTAGGTGTATTTTTGGGCAAAATGGAAGTTATCGTTATTCTGAGAGCTATAATTCTAGTTAATAATTTCCAGTGAGAAACATGCTGTTTTCACTCAGACACTGTCTTTACAGAGGAGTACAGAGAGCTTTGTCACATTGTCCTTGAAACTAAGTGGACATTGGTGCCAGATATGAATAAATACCCTCGAGATGCTCTTGAGATTTCACCTTCATGAGAACAGGATGAGCGTACGTATGGACTGACAACCTGAAGACGTAATGCCTCCGCTCACGGCTGTTGCTGGAGTGGAGGCGTAAAAAACAGCAGAACCAACAGTTGACACAGTCGACCCTTTTCATAACTCAGGCTACAACTCACCTGAGCTCCACCCTGCCATTAACCAGGGCCAGAGAAATGAAGTCCTTCTTGCCATCCTGGCCATTGTAGAGCAGGATCCCAGTCATCTCAGATGCTCTGAACTCCATGGCAATGCGGACCGTGTGGTATGCGCTCATGGTTTGGAAGGCCAAATAGGACTGGCCTCCAAATGATGGGATGAAGTACTTGATCGCTGTGGAGGAATGAAGATAACAAGCCAATCCTGTAATTACTACAGGATCTGCTTTACTGTGGCCTAATGGGAATTTAGTGTGGATAATTAAATGTGGGCGTTGGTGGTGTGTCACTGGCTTATGATGACAGAAAAGTAAACCTTTCTATCAGTTTATTTTAAGAATGATGTTTTTCAGAAATGGTTTACGAGTTTATCAAAAGGAGAAGGTCGAGAAAGAGGAGGAGCTGAGCTTTTCACACACTCTCAAGTCACACACATTCACGCTCACATGTGCAAAGGAAACCTTTGTTTTACTGCCACTCAGCAGTTAAGATTATAATCATCCATTTTCTTCCTCAGGCTTCTTTTCTCTCCGTCCATCTGTCTTTCTGTCCATATCTCTGAGGAGAATGGCAGCTGATGAGCTCACTCTTTTCTAATGACTTGATTGATCTGGGGAGGCTTGTGTATGTGTATTTGTACTGTATTTAGCCACTCTAACTCAAAGGCACACACTGATTTTCACCAGCTAACCCCCATCAAAACCATTAGTGTCAATTATCATAAGATGCAGCTGCGTGAAGTTGCTCCTCACCCCCGAAAATCCCAATACAGGGTAAGAGGGAAGAACAAAAGGAGCTTCTCACAAAGTTCTCCTTGATTTATGATTTTCTCTGTGGCGCTGATTGGATTCTGTGTTGCCTTTGGTGAACGGCTCAGCGGTCGCTTGCTTCTGAGGTGGTGAACCTGCCTGAATCACTTGAGATAAGTTTGAGAGATGTTGTCTGACTGATCATTTCTCAACTCTTTGTTCTCAAGTTTATAAAAAGTGGACTATATAAAAACAGACTCTCTTTGTCAAGCTCTGATAACTATTTGTTGAGTTCTAAATGACCCAATAAAGTCACATCTGTGACTAAATAATATTTTATTTTTTTATATGTGTTTCTGCTACCTAATAAATATATTAAAGCATTTGAGGATGTGGTTAGCAGTGATTACAGAACAGCTAAAAGGCATGATTGACACAATGGAAAGCGCAGCACTTAAAACTCTCTTAGTTGCTGCAGAATCACTGTAAATGTCCACCTTTGGTGGCGTCTTTGAAACTGATAATTGCAAGAATACCAAATTACAGGGAACATCTGTTCCAGCAAGTTCTTAAATTAAATTTCTTAGATGATTTTGAAATAAGCTTAGACTTTGAAACTTTAGATTTAAGAGTAATAACAAATATGGGGGAAGAAATGGTTCCTAATATATAAAGAAACTTCCAGCTAACTCACCCTTCTCACATACGGAGCCTCCGCGTCCAGCGGGGCACTTGCAGCTGAAGTCTCTGCCATCATCTTCACAGGTGCCCCCGTGCAGGCAGGGGTGGGAGTCACATGGCTTCTTGCGGTGAATCGTGCCCCTGACGTGGCCGATGGTGGTGGCCGGAGGCAGTGCTGTCGTGGTGGTGGGGAGCGGTGGGGCGACCGGTGATGAGGTTGTGGTGGTGCGTCTGCCATTGTAGGGCCTGCGGGTAGTGCCTGGTGGGCGACGGGTGATATAGGGGGAGGGTGGTGTTGGCCTGGTGGTGGTGGTGGTTGTGGGAGCAGCTGTGGTGACCAAGGCTGTCGTGGTGGTAGTGGTGGTGAAGAAGGGGATGGAGGAGAGGACTGTTACAACCAGGGAGAAAAAAAGAAATGAGAAAAATGAAAAAGAAACAATGTTGAGCCTGTGATCCTAAGATTTCCTATTCACAACCCATGAAGCCTTTGATAAATCACCTTATGAATAACTTAAACCCCCTTTTCATTTTATTAATCCCCACACACTCCAATTCAGTCCACATTGTATTACCATAATTGGTGAAGCGAATATTTTCGTCCTCTGGCTTCTTCACAGCAATGCTGGTCTCTTTGGAGACCTTCAGCTGCTTCAGCAGGGCTCCTTCGATGTCTTCCACAGTGTATCTTGTATCTACAATAAACAAGAGGTACAGCCACTCAGGACAAGGCCTCTAAAAAGCACTCAAAACAAACACAGAACTCCAGACTCTTAAGCCATTCACTGGATATATCAGGCCTTGTACATGACAAGGGGAGGGTCTCCAGGGACTACTTGTCCTCTACTCGTCTTTTTTTCTAGATGAATAGCTCTCATAACATTTGCCGCAGATGTTCGCTTTACTGGCCATGGAGGAGCATCACTTAACCACAATCGCTGCCCCATATGAACAGTTTGAACCAAATATAAAAGACAAGGAGGATGGGGTTGTTTATGGTGCAAAACAAGTGTAAAAACTCACTTGTGGCATATGAACTATTTAATTTTGATCTTAACTTTTATTCATACAAGACGTTGCCTTGATAATAAATAACCAGCAATTTGTAATCATTGAAAATACCACCCTCTGTTTTCACAGTTAGTAATGTGAACAAACCTTTAACAGATCAAAAAAGAAATGTAATTGTTGTCCCATATTCAACACGTGTCAACCTGTTAGCATAACAGCAAGTACTGTACTAGTTTTGAATGGCAGCTGCTAAACACAAGTCAAAATTTTCACTGACATTTAGGGAACTTTTGATAAGAGGTAAAAACCATCTTGTGATATTGTTCTTTTTTTTTAAGACTAAGGAAAATTATTGTAAGCAAGAAATTAAGCTGGCACTGAGAAGAAAATGAAAAAAGATAAAAATAAGGAAAAACATTCAGTACTTCACAGTATTATGAGCCAAATAAAAAAAAAGCAGAAAACACTCAGACAGCACATACCTCTGCCAAAGAGGCTCAATACTCTTAAATTTGTTGCACTAATAACAAAAAAGTTTAGACATTTTAACATGCACCTGGATTTACAGTAGAATACACAAAGCAAGAGAAAACTCATGATGGAGAAAACTTTCTGTGTATCCTAGTAACTTTATGCACAAGGACGACCTGGGAAAATTTTCACATTAAGCATAAACACCGACTTATGGCCATGTAAATCAAATTTCTGTTGCTGTAGCGCCACCTGCTACATAAACAAAATGGCATTTAAGTGTGCAGAATTACACAGTGTGGTTATGTGCAGGCACCATTTGGTTACTATTGCACATATCATTCAAGGATAAATGGAGCTTTATGTCCAACCTGCCACAGACACAAGACGTTAGTATTTGAGAGAATTGAAAGGAATATTTAACAGTATTATCCAAAACTTTTATGTATCCAGCTGTGGTGAGGACTGAATTAAATTTGTAGGAGGAGGAGTTAAAGATTATGGAAACCACACACATTGATCACTGCTGGGCCAAGAAATCTAGGAGAGAAAAAACCTGCCTCTCTGACTTAATTACAGTGCATGACTGAAAATGTAAAATGCTTTAAAAATGGAGATATGATGGCTTATTCAGCACTAAAATACAATGAGGTCTTTCTTGGCCAACGGCCTGACTTTTATGCCAACTTCAGTTCAATCTGGCAAGTAATTTTTGAGATACAAGACAAAGGGGAATGAAATATAACTGATTCCAAGCACAACCAGTGTATTTTCTTACTGGCTACTGTACTTTAAAGTAATTCAGATTTTTGGAAGTCTCCTTTTCAAAGATCACTCACCTGGTTTGAAGTGGGCCTCCACAAAGGCCAGGATGGAGTTGCTTGGTGCCAGGTTACGGACACGAACACTCATAAAGTCTTTGCGCACCCCTGACTTCCTGAACAACTCATTGAGCTGAGGAAGAGAGAGATAAAGAGTAACAGAGAGAGTGGGAGGAGAGAAGGGACAGAGAGAAGCCATGATAAACGAGACTCATACTATCATAGCAGCGAGAAGACTGTACCATACCTCCAGGAAAGAAAGTCCGCCTCTCAAATTAGGATGCAGAAAAGAAACCTTTGGGTATGGGTGAACAAACTGACATTTAGCTACGACCGTGGCATTAATTACAAGAACACGTTTTCAAGAGGAGCTAAGATAAATGTCTTGCTACCCTGACATGTGCTCCTGATTGGCTTTGCTTCTGAAGTGCGTGTTGTAACAGCCAGATGAGCTCTGCAGGGAGGTCTGTGGAAAAGGTATTTTAAGCCGACAGAGCCGTTGCCTTTAGCCATATATCTGGAACAATATTTTATCTTAAAATTGGACCAGTTTTATGCAAGAACTTCAGCTTACACATACTCAATGCTTCCTCATTATTCTACCCTTGCCAACATGGTGGTGAGTTTATCTGCAAAAGCAAAGAGAAACAAAAAAGAAAATCATGTGCCACATCCTCATTTCAGCTGCTAGTTCGAATCAGAGGAGCCGCAGGGCTCCTAACCCACTTCACTGGAGCATTCTCTGAATGGCTGCTTTCACTGTTTTCACTCAGTGTTCCTCCACACTCTGCATCTCGCCCATGTTCCTAAGCCCACAAAATGTTGTCACCTAACAAAACTCCCCTACTCTTGTGACTTGTAGTAGATAATCGTGTTTTTAGACAACAGTGAGGTGACCTCCGATGCAAAAAGCTGCTAAGTCACTCAGTGACACTGACACAGCTCAACAGTTTTGTTCATGGACCGAATGCTTCTAACCTGTGGACTGTTGTGTGACAGCAAAGTTGACAGGCCAAAAATTAAATCCTCCAAAGCTGGCTCAGGGATGGAGATGGCGATGGACAAACTCCCCTCTGGACTCAGTGATCTAGAAACCTCCTGGTTCTTCTTTTCACTCCTCTCTTTCTCTCATACACAGTATGCTAATTTTTTCACTAACTGTAGGATTGTTGCTGCATTACACAAGAAATGTGCTGTTGCCTTTTACTGGACATCTGTGTACATACATTGTGTGTATGCCTGTGTCTGTATGTTTGTGCTCCGTGTGTGTGTGTGTGTGTGTGTGTGTATGTAAGAAGATGAAAAAGGGGTGGTTGCTGTCAGGTGGCACAACAGGCTTTAGAGATACACCAGGTAAGAGTGTTAATGAGCACACACACACACACACACATATACACACGAACAAATCACCGTGAGGTAGTAGACTAGGTCCCACTGGGGGCTAATGACACTGATTCAACAGCTGGTAGGTGTGTACTGTGTATACAGACGTACACACATGCTCCCATTTCATCAGAGAAGTGAAGGTCTGGCTTGACAACAGAGACATTTGTTCAAAGGCCTGAGCTCTGAGATAAAATGGACAGTGGTGAAATTCAACCAAGGTAAATGGCCTGAGCCAAACTGTGATTACTGTACAGGCTCTGTGTCTGCCCAGGCCTTGACTGGCTAACAGCAACTGGCACTGTGTCCATCCAAACATATGAGGCACACATCCAGAATAAGAGCTTGATTCTTCAAATATCTGAAATTTTTTAATACCACAGGAGATGTAGCTTTCTGATAGACGGAAGTGTCTGATAAGCTATTGATAAATGTTTTTGCACAAGTCTGCTGAGAGCTGTTAATCTTTTTATAGCTCTCTTATTAAACTTGAAGAGTTTCTAGAACTATTGTGTATGCTTGCAGGGTCAGAAATTACAAGCACTACATATATTCTCTAAAAAGTCTTAATCAGAGCTACATGTAAGGAAAATCCTAGTGTTGACATCAGAATTCTTAAGGTCATGTTAATGTTTGTGAAAAATAACCATTAAACCACAAGATGGACCATGATCCTATGAAGAGTCTTGTTTTGTTTCTACCTGCCTGGGTCAAAAACCAGCATTCAGCCACTAATTCCTTCTTGGGGATTACTTGTTTTTACAGTTTGCCAGTATTCCCCTTTTATTAAAAAACAAATATCAGCCAGACTATGTTGTCTCCCTGTGATATGATGTACGGTATTTTCTTCCCAGAGCACTGCCAGCAAATACGTTTTGTATCATTATTTTTCTATCAGATGTCTGACCAGAGAAAGCACTCCAGTCCAGTGTAGCAGAATATTGCACAGCAGCTTTAGGGGTGTCGAGCCCGTAAAAACTGCAATGAAACCTGACTGAAGGAGCTGAAAGAATTTGATTAGTCTGGCTCTAGGTGAAGAGTTTTAGTGCCTCTTGAAGCTTTCAATGTTGTTCCAGACGCTTTTCCACTCTTGACAAGAACATTCTTGGGAAAATGCAAAATTCAAAGGAAGGCTTTTGCTGAACATTGCCCACTGTGTTCACAGATGGCTGGCATCAGCTGCTTTAGAGCAGTGTTAACTGAGTTTCAAGGGCAGTGGACCAATCTGAAAATACAACATTAGACCCTATGAACTATTTTCTTATTATTAGGTTGATATACGCATCCTCTGTGTTTCTGAATGTAACTCTAATTTTCACTTTACTAAAAAACTGCAATGAGGGTCAAACAACAAAACAAAAAGCTACAGTCGAGGGGGCTAAAAGGCTCCATGAAGCAGAGACCTGTGGTTTCATCCCATGCACGACCTTTCACATTACACATTGCCCTTTTATCCACTGTTAATATGTACAATTAGTTCAGCCTTAAAGGTATCATCATTACAGAACTTCATTTGAAAGCTAGTAAAATCGGACCACAAGCAGGAAGCACTACTACAATATAATGCAACAGTAGCACAATTCAAGTCAAGCTCTAACAGTAAAACCCCTTGAAAGTATTAAACTGAGTATGTAAATTTGTCACGTGCCTTGGAAAGCAAGGCAAATTTCAGAAGTATATTCTGCCCCTGGTCACAGCTGTGTTTTTCTACTTCACTAAGTTACACATTCTTATTTTAAAGGTAAACATTACTATTTTCAGGATATTGTATTGCAGAAGATTAAGCCTAGCAAAATCACAGTTTCTAGTATTTCTAGTAGTATTGTATTTCAAACACTTCTTGCTCCTACAGCACTTACAGCACTCTCTATGCTGCGGGCTGTCTCTCCAAACAGCTCTGACTTGGGGTCCTCCATCTCGGGGGTGTAGAAAATCTCTTGGCCCTCTACCTGGTCCAAATGCAGGACACCACTGAACCTCATGGTGGCTGGAAGAAGAAGAAGAGGTGAGGGCAGAAGATGTGATAACCAAACATCATAGCTCAGACCTTCTTCTATCACTCAGTTCCTGCTGCCTTCACACAGTGCTTGTTTTTGGGTAGTGCCAGTTTTGGGTTAGTGATGAATTGTGTGTTTTTGAAAAGGGGACGTTAGTGATTAAGATTCTGTTTGCATGGGGGTTTAAAAATGGCAGGAGTTAGAATGCAGTGGTGGTGGAAGAGGCTGAGATATGAAAGAGGAAAGGAATGAATTAAAAAATGAAAACAGGGAAGGGAGGATGGAAACATGGGCCAGTTTTACCAGACCGAGACTCATCCCAAAAGCTGGCCGAAGCATGGAGGGCTGGGTAAAAAGACAACAAGTTAGAGAGACACACAAACACATGAAGGAAAAACAACACACTCTAAGGAGGAACCGGCACTCTCAAAAAGCCTTCTTCAGCAGTGAGAGAGCCTCCCTGTGAGACCTTGGGAGTTATGTTGTCCAACATCTATTAACTCTCTATGCGGTTTCTTGGTACTGCTGCCAGAGAGGAAAGGACATGAAATAAAGCTGAAAGTGGAGGGGTTGTGTGTGTGTGAGGTGGGGAACAGAGGAGCATGCAAGGCACTGATGCCAGGCTTCCTCACTACTTGTAATCAGCAAAACGAATTGCCCAAATCAATCATGGCTGCCCCTGCCTGAGAAACACCAGGGAGAACGGGAAGAGCACTTGTATGATTATCGTGAAAGATAGCAGTAATTGTCTCCTTAATGTCGCCAGACTGATGACTGACACTGCCAGGTTAAATCGCATGGAAAAGAACAGCAGACAGTGCCAACACAAACCCGCCCTACTTGTGTTCCCACTGTCCCCCATGGTCTTTACAATACTTTCAGGGCAGCACACATCGATTCAGATGTGACGGCAGCCATAAACTACAGGCAAATAGGCAAGGTCTGGTTGCTAAGATGAGGAGGGAGGAAAGGAAGAAAGAGAGGGGACAGCGGGAGAGATCTGACTTTTCATCTACAAAAAAGACAAACATCAGAGAGGGTGATTTTCCAGTTCACTGCTGTGACGGACATAAAAGGAGCAGGAAAGAGAGAGATAAAAGGACAGACGGAGCTATTTGACTATCAGATTCCAGTGAACTGTAAAATGTAATGGATTTGTCAGACTTTCCCGGGCATATGGAAGAGTTTACAGTAGCTCAGCGTGCCATTAACTTTAACACGGGTATTTGCTGGTCATTATCTTTGATGTCGTATGAATGGTATTACCTTGTTTAAATGTAACATATGAAGGGACTGCAGCGATTGTTTTCAAAAACACATTAATACATCTCGGTGTCTAGGCACTGCTAAATACAGGTAAACATTCAAATCAATTTTTAGCATTCAAGTGACTCAACCATTTATTAAGTTCTTAACGTGGGACTGACATCCAACACAAAAATGAATCAACCTTGGGCCACTTCGCCTTTTTCTGTCTCAATAAAATGTGAACACTGGAACAATGAACAGCTCTTTTCATTCGGAGAAAGTCGAGTGCATGTCAATAAACTCGGCAGTATGATGAGATGGGGGGCAATGGATATTCTAGTATGAGGGACATATCATTTTGTGTCTAATGAGTGGAGGACGGGCTAAGCCCTACTAAGGAAGAAAAAAATCCAGCATATTGATCAGCCTATCGTGCTGCCTGCTTTTATTGGTAACACTTGAGTTGAATGAAGTATTGATCGCTGGGTGCTATCATTGTTTGCTGAAATAAATATTTACTGGCTTTAGCGGATTTGTTATAGCTGCTGTCTTACAGCTAAGCCCTATTACAGGCACTTCTAAAGCACAAGCTTCTACTGTTGTCGGGATTAGGAGCCAAACATGATCAGATCCAACCTCAACACATGGCTTTTAACCTCTGTTTGGAAATTAATGACATATTGTGGATCGTGTGGCAGTGAGCTTGTCTATGGAAGGATTTTAGACCTTCACCACACCAGAAGTGTAACTTCATGCACTCATTTGTGAATCTTGCTCTGAAGCTCCCATGAGAACCAGAGAGAATCCCTTCTCCCACAGTCAGTCAGGCCGACACCGCTGGGACAAATAGAGAGTAGATTTCAACTGAGGGATGGAGGAAAAAAGAGATAAAGAAGCAAAGAGGAGCGAGAAGCCCTTTATCTTTATGAACCGAGTCTGGCAGAAGGCACTGATTGGTACAACAGCGCTCATCGGCCTCTGGTAGTCTCTCGACTTGCTCTCCCCACTCATCTCCAGAGAGAAATGAACTCATGCAAGACTGGATTGAGATTGACTGGTCTTAGGGAGAGAAAAGAGTCAGATAACGCACAAGGGGGAGATATTGACTGATACAGGGAGGAGTGTGTGTGTGTGTCTGTGAGTGTTGGGGATAGGGGCGTTAAAAAGAAGAGATGGGGAATTAAAATTAAATGAAATAAGGTGAGGGAAGATTGAAAAAGAAAGAATAGCTGATGGCTATTTATAAACCAAAGCCTTACAATATCATGTTGACTCTTGCATAAAACCAAACTTCATTCAAAAATCTGGAAAAAAAAAGAAACCCTAGAGAAATGAAACTGACTGGGGATCAAGCTGGGAACAACGAATATCAAAGTCAGTCTGTGAAGTGTTGTCAGATTCATTAAGGCTGGGGTCAGACTTAAGGTTTCACTGTTGGTGTATTTTTTTTATTATTATTATTTTCTGCCACTTGCCAATATGATCATTTGCATTTGAGGGAAGTGATTCATGAAAGCACTGCTGCCACCTGTTCATCTGGTTGTTTAAGGCAGATGGCGCAATATCACTAAAGTAAACATTAAATATGAAAAATATTCTGGTGATTCTCAGTCTATGAACAAATTTAAATTATAAGCTGAGTTTTAAAAAATGGAGAATGGAAAGAAAATTAAGGAAAGAGTTCTGAGCTTCAGACTGAAGATCAGTGGTTGAAAGCTGGAGCTAAACGCTGCACAATGCAAATGGGGAAAACGGAGATGCTGGGAGATGATTAGCTTAGCTCAGCTTAGTATAACAGCTGGAAAACAGGCAGAAACAGGTGGGAAAGTGCAAAGAACCCTCTAAATCTATAAAGTAGTGTTAATATTTTTGTTTGTGTATGTGTTGATAGGTGAGCTTCACAGGTGTTTGTTTTTTAAACTTCGGACAGTGGTAAACTGCTCCCAGCCTCTATGCTATTTTCCTTCTCGATGTATAATACACATGGTAATGCCAGTTCCAAAAATGAAGCATTTCTCTAATGGGAGCTGAGGTTTACTGAATTCTGACACAGTCCTAGGTAACTGCAAGCTCAAGATCAATGTTAACTCTAGGAAGATGTTTCACATTCTCAAAAAGATCAAAGAAAGAAACTCTCGGTTGAGGAGATCAAGGTTCCGTGACTACACTGACTCACAAAAGCTAGAACAACAGCAGCTAGCCTACAGGATATCAGGATTTCATCATGCCATATCTTATCACACAGTGCAGTGCAGGAGACGGAGAAGGAACCACAAGGGTAATATTCTGGTAATTAGAGGACAGAGAAACTCTTTTCTGAAGGTTCATATTTACTTACAGGGGCAGTTGGCGCCCTCTGGGGAGCTGGATGGTGTTTTGCCATCAGGACAGCAGCCGAACTCCGTGTTGTCACAGGATGACCTGTCCTCAGCTGTGGGCACAGTGGTGCTTACCACCGTGGGACCTGGGGGTGATACACAGGGGCTCATAATAATTCATGAAGTTTCCAAAAATGAATGAACTGAAGCCAGTCTATCTCAGACCCCCAGTGGAGAGCGGTTTTTTTAAACGATGATCACTTAATCACGACTGTGTGTCACATGGTAGATGTCTAGATCCATTGGTGTGAGCTGGCACTGCAGATGGCTTCCTCGGTTCTGTACCAGAAATGAATTCCTTGTGTGTGTAACATAATTGGCCAAATAAAGTGATTGTCGTTTTTTTAAATGTGAATGTGTAGTGTTTCTATGGTCAAAACTTACAACTTCCTTTGGTTTTTCTCAACTTGATCCTGCAGATGTGTGTGGTTTCAGTCTGCTGACTGGTGATTGGACGCTAACAGAGTGATTATATGGCATTTCCATGGGGATTGATTTTACACCTGAAACTCATTTTGTCAGGCAGAGAACACAGAATGGCTGCTGTTGTCATATTACACACAGAGCGCTTTAAATGTGAGGGAGGGGTGATAAATGCTCAGTGCTGATTGGCTGACAGTTACCCTGAAGGCTTCCCAGGAGGAAAAAAAAACATGTTTGTGTTACGGTTACTATATATCTGGCTATCTTGGGACATAAAAGACATAAAAGTAGGGCCTTTTTCTTTCTGAAGAATGAGAGTGTGTAACAGCAGCAAACTTCAGTCATCTCTAATGATGTTGTGGTTGTGGTGGGGGTGCCCTGGTCAAAGTAGTGCAGTTTATGGCCACACAGAGATTAGAAATAATCGCAGAGGCAAACAGCTAGCGGCTGAACAAAGTTGTAAAGACATCAGAGCCCGGGGGTGTCCGGTTCAAGGACTCACGGTCAAAGGAGGTAAGGGAAAGCAGGTGGAGGGAGGAGGGGTTGGGGTTTATAAGGCATCTGCTGGTGTGTGTTGGGTAGATTTATAGATACCAGGCTGAACAGGAGAATGCTTATTGGGGGGAAAGAGGGCAGTGCACAACAGCAAGGGGACACGACATGATTCCAGTGGGAGCTGTGAGAGCTGTCAAATAAGTACGCAAATCCTTGTTTTTGTCACTGAGTGCCCACCTCTCTGTCCCTTACACAGATTTACATTAATTTCCAGGAGACTTATGTTAACCTTAACCAAAATCGAAACTTGATCAAATTTTACACCCTGTTGTTTTCATAAAATTCAACAAACTACAGTACAGTACAAATGACGCCGGTCCCTGCAAAGCTAGTGTGTCCCCGGTTTGCCGTCCCCACAAGGATAAAAAAATAAAAAACAAGGTCACACAGTGGGGCTGCACAATTATGGTAAAAATCATAATCACGATTATTTTGGTCGATGTTGAGATCACGATTATTTAACAGGATTACTCAGTGACTCTGAAAACATCATGCATTTATTGAATTAAGAAATACTCGTCTTTTAGCAGTGAATTTTTCTTTAGTTTTAAATATTATTTAATTGAAAAACAAGTATTTCATCTACCTAACTGTGAAAACTTTGCTACTTCAGGTTAACAATACTGCCTGTCATAGCATAAAGAATCTTCTGGGCTCACCGTGACACAGCCACATCTCTCTCCCTCTCATTTAACAGTAAGGCTCATTTAACGGGTGTTTTGATAGATTACTCACTGACTTTTTTACTCGCTGAGGTTTTATTGCATAGGTGTTGTCTACTTGAGTAACATTTTACTTCATCCGATGTGAACAAAAAATGCTGGAGCTGTAGAGCACTGAAGACAAAACGAGAGCATCATTGTGAAATGGAGTGCGGCATAATAATCATTTTAACTTGATTATTATATTTTCCTAATCGCTGGAAGCCAAAATTGTAATTGAAAATAAAATTCAACTAATGGCCCAGCCCTACCACACATTCTACCACACACAGAGTTGCAGATAATTGCAGATACATAAACATACACACCTCTGACCTGCTCGTATTTATATACTCGGTGATGTGTGAACTCGGAATGGGACAAATTCTGTGACATGAGCAGAGGAAGAATAAGAAACTTCAACATATAGACTGTATAAAACACACAATCAGGCCTCACAAACACACATACAATTATGAAGACAGATTCTTCACATTTTGATATTCATGTTGAAATCTGCATTGTATAATTTCCTAATCTGCTCACAAAAGATTGCTGTGTGCACTATTACAGCACACACACATAAGCTAAAACAGCTACGAGTGTCTGAGTACACATCGGTTTACACACACACACACACACACAAACACACACACACACACACAGCCACAAGATGCTGGGTCTCCTTGGCAGACAAGCTGCATGTTCCTCACATCACCGAACACTCTGGTCAGTGTCTGACAAGAGAATAAATCTAAGACTCGGGAAGACGGAGCAAAAGGGGAGGAGGAGGAGGAGCTAGGGAAGAGCACACCGGGGTCACACTGTTCCATCAATCCTATCCTGTTACTGCAAGCTGTCAGGCAAGGTGGATGGATGGATGGAAAACAACATCAGAAAAATAACAAAAAAGCTGAAATTGAAAAGTCTCAGGCATCCCCTGTTGTCCAAGCAGATGCCCAAAGACCACAACCGACTGTTATAGTCAGGAGGGCATATCGAGAAAGATTTGAGAGCAGTCACATGACAAAGTACACATACACTCACACCTCAACCTCCCAGTCACATCAGCAGATTCAAGTCAGGCTCCAAAGACTCCCAGATGTGGGCCAACAGTTTCATCTGGCCTGCCGAGAGTGTATTTTACAAAGCCTGGGTTTGTTTTGCTACTGTAGCTGTTGGGAGGGAGTGTGCTGGTGGAATGGGAGAAAAGAGCATCAGTGATGCAGAGTAGCAAGAGTGAACCATGCAAACACATTCCTTCTGAAACTGAGATATGCATCTTAAGCAAATGGAAATAATACTAATACTGTAGCATCTGTTTGCAAAGATTTCTCTCCTTGTCTAGTTCTGACATGTCTCCTCAAAAACATCTGCATATAAATACTTAAGCCTGTGTTGATTTTACAGTCACTTTCAATTAACAAATGAGGACATGAATGTGTTATGATGTAAGCTAAAAAAGAGTATAAATTCTCCCAACACCTTCTTGAAAAAAGCCCCTCCCACAAAACCCTAAAAGCACTATGGGAAATGAAGTGAAAGCGCAGGGATTTACCGACAGGCAGCTCTGCACCACTGGCCTCTGTTGGGACGCCGCTACCTGGTTCCTCTTCCTGCTCCTCCTCTTCTTCGGTCTGGTCATCCCCGCTTGGCTCCCCGCTGCCCGAGCCCTCAAACGAGCTCATGGCAGCAGACGGGGCAGGGCTGCTGCGAGAGGAGGAGGTGATGACAGTGGCAGTGGTGGGCTGCAGGGGCTGAGGCTGGATGGGTTGGTGGTGGTTTGCTCTGGCACGGTTGTGGGTGAAAGTGGAAAAGGGGGTGGTGGTTGGGGGCTGCTCTGGGTCGGGTGTCCATGGAGGCGGGATGCCTTGCACAATGCTATGGAAGGGGGCGGCGGGGGTGATGTCAGCGGTTGAGCTGGGGGTGGTGGTGAAGGGGTTGAGCGTAGGTCGTTCTGCCAGCTCGGAGATGGTTTCTGGTGGAGGGAAGGGCAGGAAGCAAGGAATGGATGAATGACTGAGCAAAGATGGAAATGTTGGATTTTGCTTCACCAAACTATTACAGCATCAAAAATCACACCAAAGGAAGTAAAGACATAATAACCAAGAAAAAAATAACAAAGCTACTTAATGATATCCCTGTTTTACTGTTAATAACTTTTTTAACCTCTGCATTTAATGATAATTGCCTTCTAACCCCAGTGCTCATCAGTGTCATTATGAAGTTACATCAAAAAAATACACAAATATGCAGATTCCCATTTGTAAATGCAACCTCTGATTAAAAACCCAGCAATGGATAGGATATCAGGAATCTTTGTGTACTGTAAGTAATGACTGAGTGAATATACTGAGTGAATATTGGACACCCCAACAGTTAGATATATATCCACTATAGTGTGTTTCAGCTGCAGACAGTGCATGTTGCCCAGCCAGGGTTAAGCTACTCCAGTCGGTGTCAGTGCATAGTGTGCAGTGTCTTTGTGCTTTCATAGGAACCTACAGCATGTATTTGTGTCTTCTGTAGCAAAGACTATGAATTATATATATCCATATTCAAATCCTGATCTCCAGTAGCAAAGCTTTAATCACCAAGAGCCACAGCCTCCAGTGATAAATGATTGATAGAAATGGGGCAAAAAAAGCTGGCTTTAACTCTGGCTTCAAAAACAGCAGACTGCTGCTTGCAGATAGCATGAGCAGCCATCAACGCCACCACAAACATTCTACTGTCAACAGACTCACACAAACACACGCGCACACAGCAAAAAATCGCTCCAAATGAGGGAGAGAGAAGAGGCTCTGCAGAGACCATCATTACCAATACAAAAAGCTCTGGTGCAAAAGGACAAACTGTCTGCGATAAAAGAACGATAAATAGGACAAAAACTCCTGAGGGAGAGAAGTAAGTTGGCAGGGAGATGCTGCGTAAATGAGTACTTCAGATTTAGCCGAGGCAAGCAGGCATGACAATGCCGTTGTTCCTCCTTTACTTCTTTACGTCCCACGAGTATAGGTGCGTGTTAGTGTGTGGGTGAAATGAAAAGAAGATTAGGAAAAAAACCTATACCGTAGATGTTCGCCTCATTAGGATTGATTTGATTGATTTATTCTTTCAAGCATGTAAAGACAGTTGATATATCAACACACATAATTTTACACATATCCAACAAATGCTAATCCAATATCAATTTGCTTATACCTAGTACATGCTTGAATGGAGTAGGAAGAAGTCAGACTTATCCAGTCCTACCCCATGACATCATCTTACCATCATTGGTTTGCAAGCAGTAAATGATTCACTTCTACCCACACAAGTATTATACTAAAAAAAGATTATAACAGTGTTAACATTCTTACATAATTACATTCTTAAATAATTATCTTCTACACCACACAAGTAATATACTAAAGAATTATTACAAAGTGTTAACATTCATAC